GCTTCACTAATCCTTAAGCCAGTTCTTACTGATTCAGTTTTATTTGATCTTTCTAACCTCTGTTTTACGGATTCTTCATGAACGAGTAGACCTGACCCAACCCGGTTATGTAAAAGAGTTAGAAATTCAGAGCCGAGCCCGACCCATCGGGTTGCCGGGTTGAACCGTCCAGATATGGTTGATCCAATTTTTACAAAGGTAGGTATTCTTATTTATTTCTTGCACTTGGGTTTTCATAAATTTACTAAAATAAATAATAATTTTAGTTTCCACGTAATCATAAGCCTCCAAGGTATAAACATTTGGGTGGATCCGACATTGATTGGATTTAAATTAGTTTGAAAATTTTATTTAAACTTTTCTAAAATTGACATTATTGGAAGCCCAATAAACATTATATAGAGGCCTACAAATCTTCATGGAGAGCCTTAAAAAAATTTATTTCATGAATATTTAAATTCTCTATCTTTATGACATTTTACAATTTTTTGTGGTGCAGTTAAGTTTGAAAATAAAATATTAACAAATTAATTGTGTTAATCGTATTTAAGTTTTTTATACTAAAAAACTCACATTATTTTATTATAGGTGGAGTCTAAAATATTATTTAAAAAATAATCTGAGTCCTAAATAAAATTATTCAAGGGTGCTACTAGAAAACATATTGAGCTTATTTTGCCATTTCAAATTATATTGAGCTTAATTAGCTTGCTAATCATGCATGTTGGCAAATCTTTTGCTTTGGTTTACTTAATTTTACATATATAAGAATCAAACTTATTTTGTAACTTCTTCCACAAAGGATCATAAATCGCTAAATCTTGTGAAGCATGTAATACAAGTGATACACAAGAAATATACTGTCATTAATGATAATTTAATGGTGCACTATGTGATTTTTCCTACTTTTTTTCTTACCAACGCTCCAAGCCATGTACTTAAGAAATTATCTCATGCAAGTGTTCTTGTTCTTTAGAACTTCTCCCCCTTTATCATAATAAAATGGGGGCACCATCAAAAAGACAAAACAAACCAATAATACCACAAGATAATGTGACTAACTATAAGCAAAATACAAATAAGAAATCAAAAGTTTATGTCAAGAAATAACATATCAAGAAAATTATAACCACTTCAAATCCAAAGAAAAATAGGTCAGCCAAAAAATAAATAACCCAACTTAGAACTACCCAAATTCTTCATCATCTCCTTATTCTTTTATTTCTTAAAAATCTTATGCTACTTTTGATGCGGTCATTCATCAATAGGAGTTGATTGATCATCCACGCAATTTGTCAATCTAGATTGCATGCTATCTTTATATAGTGGATAAAGGTTAGGTTTCTTATAAGTAATGATAAACTTAATAAAATGAAAAGGATGAGATTGTGAGAGCACTAATAATTTGGATCTTGAAGCGACATAATTTAATGCATGATTGGAAAAATCATCCTATGAAATTAATGGGTTAATTATAAAAATTATCATAGTTGACAAATGAAAGGGCTTGATTGAGTTTTTCAGAGTCATCAACATTTTAAGGATTGGAGTGATGAAGAAAATACTAGATGTAGTACACTTTCATAGATAATTGTAAAGTGTAAATTGGGTGCAATGAAAATATTTCATTTTAGTTATATTTGTGCAGAAATTGTTTAGGAAAAGCAAAAAAAATTATAAGTACTTAACGAGCACCGCACCGCTTATATTTTAGCACCACAATACTGACATCTATATCATCATAGTGCCTAATTCAGACATTGTAGCACCGGCTGTAGTGTTTCCATCTACAACACCCCGACGCTTAATTTAAACATTGCAGTGTTAGCTGCTCAGGAATTTTAAGGAGATCAACAATGTAGTAGAGCCAAATTTAGCACCACAGCTCCTCACAATGCCAATGTGACAAAAATCAACACCGTAACAATGGAGTCATAATGCTCAACTTTTGCACGTTGACCATGTAGCATTCTACACAGATGAGAAGTCGCATTGAATTAGCCAAAGGATGTGCTAGCTAACCATTAACCATGCCTGGTTAGCCTAATGTCATAGCAGAGCAAGCCCAACAACATTGAGGTGCTAGTTCATTTTATACAATCGCAACGCAACCATGTCTAGCGTCGCGATGTTAGAGGCCATTTTTGCACTTGTATAAACAATTTTGTAGTTCTTTTATTGGAAGAGTTCTATCCTTTTTAGTGGAGTCTTGTACATTTGTGTGCCATCCTTTACTGCCCCCTTTGAGTAAAGTCAAAGGGAGGCTTGGTAAGTACAAAATACTTTTATTTGGAGATCTTAGCCTATATTGTATAAGTAATTTTATTTTTCGAGAAAAGAGTGTGAAGAATATCAATTGATCCTTCCAGGTTACATTTATCTTTATTAATTATCCTTTATCTTTTTATTATGAGAATGAAATGAACATGAGTTTACTTTTTTGTGTTATTAATGTTTGGATGAATCTCTAAGTTTTGGATTAATGATGTAAATATATAATAAGTATTTATATAGATTCTTATCCTTTGATTACTTTATAGATATTTTTAATATCCCTCATTCTTAATTTAATGCATACAATGTCCAAGTATGCAATTAATATCTAGTTAGATGTATTGCCTCGATAGAGGAATATTTGAATTAATAAGAGTATTGAAATGGAATGTTGATATAAGTATACATAGGATGTTAAACCTTCTAGGTTTTATGGAGATATTACCTAGACATAGGATGATAAACCTGACTTTTCACCCCTACAGGTTCAACAAAGATCTAGGGATGCATATGCTATGATCCACAACTACACATACATTTTCCTAGTGAGTGTATAAGCTGTTGTTCAACTGTTCACTAGATGTACACTTGACATGCTTGTTTGAGGACAGAATAGCAGTTCCTTGCCGTTCTAATCAAGGGAGTATGTGTTAGTTCTACCATCATGCATAGCTCCTGTGACAAATTGTCAGGGTCTTCCCAATATGATATAGCACACATCTATATCTAATACATTACAAACGATTTTGCATTACTAATATTTTTCAATGAAAAAAATAACATGACACATTTTTGCTACCACTACATCTAATACTTTCTTAACCCAACTAATTTTATAAGGTTGAGAGTTTTTTGTGGTCTTAAGGTGAAGTTTTTGCACAGCTGCTCTTGAAATTATATCTCGGTACACTCACTATCAATTAGCAAATCACATACCTTTCCATCAATAGTGCACTGGGTCTGGAACAACATATGACGTTGCAAGGTAGCGAGATGTCGTGGCGGAAGCACCAGTTTCTTTAATATGTATGTTAAATATTCTCTGTTATCCCCATGTTCTTCCACCTCAAATTCTGAGGACTTTAGTTTAGATGCCCCCACATCAGCAACAATTTCCTCTCCGTTTCCTTCAATTACTTGTAAATGTGGTTGATTCGAACATTCATTTGATTTGTGGCCTGATTGGAAACACCTATTGCATTTGAGAGTGTTTTCTCTAGCATAAGGATTAGCTTTGATTGGAGCCTTCCATTTAACATATGTTTTTGAATCCAATGGGGTGTTGCTACTCACTGGAGCATTATTGTTTGTAATGGGGTTATAGGTGGTTGTGTACTTGGTTTAGCATTTTTTCTAAATTGGGTTGGTGATGGTCATTTATTGATTCGATGGAAGAACCATCGTAGTAGCTACGATTCTGGTTTCAATGCAACTTTAACAGCCTATGAGAGTGTCTATATCAAATTGAGCTTCAATTTTTCTTCATTCAAATCCCCATTGTAGAGAGTGACCAACAAATTTTCAGATTCCTTCAAATTGTTGTGAGCATTGAGGCAATAGAATTCTTAAGTGTAAACACTAATGGAGCATGATCCTTATAAACAATGCTGATGGCTTTGATATAACATCTTCTCAAAATTAGTAGGAAATAAGTGGCTGCATAGGATTTGCTTAATTTTAGACCAACTTCACAATGGTCCTTTGCCTTCTCTTTGTCGATTCTTCGTCAACTGCATTTGCCAAGCCCCCACACCCCATTTAATCGGCATGCCATGTACTTAACATGTCGCTCTAGAGCAATCTCCATGTATTCAAAGAATGTCTCTGTCACATGTTCCCAATCTAGGTAATCCTCCACATGTAATCGACTATATCGAAGAAAGGTATGTCTAGCTTCACCCAAAATTCTCCATTTTTTTTATGGAGCGTGATGCATGGGATCCTCATAATAACAAAATGATTTGTCATTTGTTGCTCCTATCACCCTATGGTGCATGTGTGGTTTCACTTCCTCCTCCGAATTAGAGACTTCAGTAGCCACAATAGGGATTTGCCTCCAGTGTTGGGTCTTTGCTACAAGGACTAAAATGTCCATAATGGGTACCTGAGATTGCATTCATGAAGCTGGTTGTGAAAGCAACATTGCTCGGAACTGTTGAAGAGCATTTCTCAAATTTGTGGAGAGATGAAAAAGACCCTCTGTCAACTCGTCTAGTTGTATGGTGACGCTCACATGCGCTGCCCACAAGGCTTCCAAACATGGATAACTGTTAAGGGTTGCACTTATGCTTCTTTGTTCCGTGATTTTTTTAGAAGCTTACTAGCTTTGATACGAACTAGCATAAGAGCTCATATTCCTCCACACATGAAGAGAATAATTCAAGTTAAAAAGCTATAATATTATATAATCTTCCCTCTATAAAAACTCCTAAATAAATTATATATTTGAACTGCAAAAAGTTATAAAATGTACTACGTAACTAAAAATAGCAGAAATTGTAAAGAGTAGTGCTAAACATAACAAAAGATAAAGTGTGCAGCGATGCACAATAACTATGATGATCCACATCAGAAAGATACATATATTTATTAATCATAGGTCTCAACCTAGAGCAATAGAAGAAAAATCATCCCATTAACAAAAGTTACAAAGAGACAGTTAAAAAAAAGGGACTCACAAATGACATAAAATAACCATAGAGTAAGGAGAAAGCACATGTGATGCCCTAAAAAGGTTCTTCCCTTGGAAGAGGAACATGTGTATCATTTTTGAAAAAGTATTCATAAATAAGCCCAGCAAGCCCGCCACCTATGAGAGGCCCAACCCAATAGATCCAATGGTCAGTCCAATCACCAGATGCCAACGCTGGCCCGAATGATCGAGCAGGGTTCATTGATGCTCCTGAGAAAACCCCACCTGCCAAAATGTTAGCTCCAACAACAAGCCCAACAAGAAATGGGCCGAACCCAGTAGGGACGTTCTTCTTAGGGTCGACTATAGTAGCATAGACCGTGAATAGGAGTGAAAAGGTGAGAACAATCTCCATGATAACTCCTTGGAGGGCTCCCATCCCAGCAACAAGTGTGTGGACTGGTGTCTCCTGCAAACAAATGATGAAATACACTCTATTATATATAGAAAAAATTATGCATCAAAATAAAGTTCTAAATACCTCTATTTTAAAAGATAAAACATGTTCTAATTCAAAAGTTAAAAAACAGAATTATTTTACTGCTAAAAAACTATGCTATATTGTAGTCTTAGGGCTATATATATATATATAGCCCTTAAGCATTTCTTTTAAAAAACATATAAAGTAATTGAAGAATTAAAATTTACTGCTTTATTCCTTATGCAATGTTATCATTTTAAACAAAGCATAAATTATGCATACACTTACCTTCTTCGTATATAACAAAGAAGTTCAATGAATAGAGAGCTTCTAAAAATTTAATTTAACGATATTGTTTCAGTAAGTTGGGACTAAAGCTTAATTTGGGATAAATTTTTTTAAATCATAATCATGATTTTTATTTGAATTTTTTTAACTAACAAATTATTTTTATAACTTTAAAAAGTATTAACTCTACTGCAGTTTTACAAAATAATAAGAAAGTTGTCGCAAACAAAATCTAAGAATTTGCTTGGGATAGCTTCAATATTTTACGAAAAACAACTTCATAATATAAAAATTTATTGAAAGCAATGAAGTAATAATGGCCAAATAAAAATTATAATTACAGTCTGATAAGCAAAAGTTGTCCCGCAAGGTTTTTTTTGGGACTACCTACTTACTGCTTCTTAAAATAGTTTTCTAATAAAAAATTAATGGTTGCCTGGTTGGTGTCTCTTTCAGTTTCAATAGCCTCTCTTTCTCTTTGCATTGTCTCTTGCTTCTCCTCCCTTTGTAATTATGGCTGATTTTTTTTTAATATTTAAGTTAATTAAGATAAATTTATACATGCACATCACATATTTTAGATTTGAATTCAAAATCTCTTAGTTGATAGCTAAAGCTTCCAACCGATAAATCAAAATGAGTTGCAATTTAGGCTCTATTTGGGACGGCTTTTTATTGCTTCTTAAAATAGTTTTCTAATAAAAAATTAAAATTTATGTACTAAAAAACTATTTTAAAAAATAATAAAAAAATCCATCCCAAATGGAGCATTGTTATGCTTAATTTATGACCAATTGTGCGGTGATTGAGGCTGCCACTTCATGTATGACTGAGGGCAAATTATTACGTCCGGTCACCGGACGTCCAGACACCCAATACAGATGCGCTACGTCACCCGAATATACTGAGTCCCGATGCATTTTGATGACTTGGCGCGTCTGGATTGGTGTCCGGATGAATCCGAACACCATACGTAATAATTTGCCATGACTGAGAGGGTCCCCCACCACACCATAACTAATAAAGAAAGTGGAAGAACTGCCGATCACACTTTAGGAAAGATGCACAGGCATTTTGTCAAGTGGTGTAAAATAAAAGAAGCACTATATGGTTGTTGCCTTTATTCTTATTGAGTACAATTCATAGCTTGGACTTTCTACTTTAAGAGGTCTTTTCATTTTCAACACAATGGTGTTCTTATTCCAATCTCTCCATCTTTTCAAAGTATTTTTAATTAGTTGCTCTCATCATGGAATATCTAAGTTGCTTGCATCATTGATTTATGTTTCATTTGAGACAGATTTCTTATTGCTTTCTAACATATTTTTTTTTAGTATAAAAATTTTTGGTCTAAAAAGCAATCTCAAACACACCCTTATAATATTTATTTATTTATTATTATTTTTTGTTATGTTTCTAAAATATTAGATGTTTCTTATTTCTAATAATTTGTATCATACTTAATGAGAAATATAATGGCTATAAAGTATGAGGTTTAGATGCTTGATAGCTAAACAAATTTTGAGCCTTAAGAACAAAGATTCAAATTCTTCTAATTTTCCATAGGCTTGTGAAGGAATTCATAGAACATTCAAATCTATGTGAGGCTATGAGTGAAGAAAGAAGAAAAGGATGAAAAATCTCCCTTCATAAATCATGAATTGTTGATGGAAGAGGTATTGATGAAAGTCATAGAGGAAAGAACAATAAAGGTGTTGAAGCTCAAGTGAAAGTTCTTGCATATGACAAATAGCCTCTTCAATAAAATGTATCAAAATAATAAATTGTTTTTACAAAATATATTAGAGCAGCAATTATATAATTACATCATAATAAGTTTAATTTTATTATTAAATTATGTTTTGGTGAATGAGTAGGATAAAAATTTGTTGTTCTTAACTTCTTATGATTTTTATTTCTTATTATAAATATTTTCATGTTACCATGTTGAATAGTAGAAATATTATAAGCTTATAAAATATTAAGAATTTACTATTTTTTTCTAAATATATAATAGATGAAAAGCCAATTAAGTGATAAAAAAGTTATGATTTGTCAGAAGAAAGAGCATATGAAAGGAAATTATCAAACTTTAAGGAGTAAGGAGCATCATGCTGATGATAATCATAAGGAGGTTGTTAGTAAATATTAATATTTTTATAGATTGGTCATACGTAGATTTTGTTAGCGCCATTTTGGTAATTATTAGAGTCAGATGTAGTGATTAATAGGTTCTAGATTCAACATATTTGACACATATGTATCCTCTCTCTCACTCTCTCTCTCTCTCTCTCTCTCTCTCTCTCTCTCTCTCTCTCTTTCTCTCTCTCTCTCTCTCTCTCTCTCTCTCTATATATATATATATATATATATATCACTTTTAAGTTATGTGCTAGTACTATAATTATAAGGAACATAATGTGGTACGTAAGACATTTTTGTTTTGGCATAATAGAGATAAGGACACATTATTGTGTGGCTAGAATATTAACAAAAGTGAAGCATGTACCAAGCCTTAAGAAGAGTTTGATATTTTGTTAAGTCTCCCTATGAAGAAAGACAACTTTCTAGAGATTTTTACTATGGGACAACCATGAAAAAAGGTGAAGGAAGTTTATGAACTATATGTTTACTATGGAACAATCATTTCAAAAAACTGTCTAATTTCAATATCACCTATCTTAGAGTATCATGAATAAGGAAGTAGAAAAGAAATATTTTGGCTACATGTCAAATTCTAGAACAAAGGAGAGAACAAGTTGCACAAAATCATATTATAGATGATTGAATGGATCAATCTCATGTTACACAATATATCCTAAATTTAGTACCCCTACTTCTTCCACCAACATAATTATGAGATGATTCAAATTATTTCAATTTCAATCTTGATATGATTAATTGGACCAAAATTAATCATCATGAAAATCTTCTTATTAGTTTAATTCCAAACCTTAACTAATTTTCCTATTAAGACCCTAGCAAGTTAGCTAAAAATCCTAACCTAACTCATAGATTTAGTTGACTAAGACCAACCTTAAAATAACCCTAAGACCTATTTAAATTTCTTATGCCTTATTTGTGTAATTATCTATTTACAAACTTCTTATCCCTTAAATTAATTAATATGATTACTATAAAATTGAATCAATTCAAATTTTAAATTTGTGGGCTCCAAAAATTTCTTCCTTGATCTCTCTGCATATTGGGTTTTAAACAAGGCATTACCTAGAGATTTTGCCTTCATTTTGTGAGGATTTTATGATTTTATGATTTGAGTACATGTTTCCTATAGGTGCAAGCTAGTCATTAAACAGATACATAGTATTTGACATACAATAGTAGCATATCTGGTATTTGAAAATTTGACATTTAAAATTAAAAATTCACCACCATGCACTTCAAGTAAATGATGAGGGGAATGATGATAAACTCTATCAAGATCCCATGTTTCCATCATTTCGTGTCATCATGGTCCCTAGTCTACTTAGTCAGAGTAGGTAGTCGACCCAACTTGACCAAAGGATCCTTATCGGCATAGGTTGCTTCGTCCAAGGGTATTTTGTAGGCATGGGATGAATATTTATCTAATGTGATAAATTTGAATCTTTTAGCTAACAGAGGGCTTTGTGTCCTATCGATCATATCATATTAATTCATTACTCAATAATTTGGAATTTATGGGGAACATACGAGCTCTGACCATGACCATAATTTAATGGTGTCATTTGAAGGCAATACCATACGGTCAGATGGTCCCGATTATAACTATTTACATGTGGTGTCATTTGACGGTGATACCAACAGTTAGAGAACTTGTGCCACATCTTTGCTGACAAGAGACAGATTGAGAATGAATCCTAGTGATATTCTCGACCAGACATTTGCTCTTTGTGAGCCAAAGTGATTTCTCATATTTGTCCACCTCGGCAAATTGTTGTGGAGGATGATTATGTATTTTACTTTAAGTATTTAGGTGCTTTATTTTAATTTTAAATATCCTAGGTTTAGATGATTTTTGAGTTTTAAATTTTAATGGGAATTTGAGAGGCATTTTAAATATATGTGGTCCCCTTGATCAGTTATGAGTTTCTATCAGCACAGTCATTATCAAGATGTTTATGGGTAATTACATTTTCTCGATTGAACCTAATCGACTCTGTCTAATTACCAACAGAAGATCGGGTTTTTTGTAGGCTTTATGTCTTTATTAGTGAATCTTCATTATTATAGATCTTGAAGGCCAAATATGAAGCATAAAACATATATCCCAGACGGCGCTACGCCTGTATATTCGTTCAATGGTTCGAAACGTGTCAACTCCTATCCATTCATGTAGAAGGATCAGATCCAAACTTGAGTTCATTTCTTGATCGCGCAACATTTTTTGACGTTACATGTGTGCTCACATCACTCTCGTCGAGGCTCATACGGGTATATACTTTTATATGTATTTTGCATGATGTGTTTTATATTTTGTAATGTGTATATGTATGATGTGACTATGTCAATGTATAAAGGTTTTTTATAATATCCAACTATAATTAGTTTTGCAGGTGATGATCATTTGAAAAATATGCAAGTTTTGTATTTAAGGGCCTATAAACGCCTTATGTCGGTTTGTGCGAGTGTTGCGGATTGGGTGGCATTGTTTAGCAGTGCATTTTTATACAATATTTGCATATCATCGGCAACGATAACATTAAGGAACAATGTATGGAGAACACAACTTTTTGCCCCCGGAGCTAATGTCTCAATGACCTCAAGCTTTTCCTACTACACTTCGAGTTAAAATTCTGCAACTCAAATTTACTTAAAACTTGACATTCGGGTTTGATTGTAAGACTTTCAAGGTTGCATTTATAGGAAGGCTCAATGAAACCACTGAAATGAAAAATTATTTAGTTGAAAAAGCTTTAGAAACTTTTGCATGGCTCGAAGCCTTCCACCATTTTGGGCCATTAAAGCTACCATGAATATCATGATCAATCTCATAGTTTCTTTCATGAACAAAATGCCCAGTTTCTAAGCTTGCTTTAATCCGACATGCATTTAGAACTCATCTACCATTTAGAATAACCATGAGATATTTTATTGTTCTGATTCAAACTCTATCTTCATTCGTAGCACTGATGACATGGGTCATATTTTGCTTCCATTGATGAGTTACAAGCTTATCACTCAGTCTAGCAAACTTCTCCAAGATTACCTTCTCATCCTTAGAGAGTTTAGATCCATAAATTATCTAATCACTACTTAGACTAGATAAGGACATCCAAATTGCATAAAATCAAAGTCTCCATTGATACACTACTTAGACTAGATAAGGACATCCCAATCTCCTTATCCGCATAACAGAAGACTTAAATTTTTGCGTAAACAGAAACCACCATTGCATGTAAATCATAATAACTTGCAAAACAATGTCTGCAACACATAACACAGAAGAAAGAGCAGCAACTCATTAAATGGATATGTCCATACTCCCCTGTTTTTGGGCGAATTATTACGTCCGGCGTCCGAATCGTCCGGAGGCAAATCCGGACGTGCCACTGGGTGATGTGGCACGTCCGAATTTGCCCTATATTTGAGAAAATAGGGAGATAGAATCCAAATATCACCGCCTTAAAGATGAGAAAGACAAAGGATGACACTCTCTCAATCACCGTCGTATTTAATGAATATAAAATACGTTTCTCTCATCTCCTGATTTCATTCCTTTCATTTTCAGCTTAATGGAAGGCGTGCTGTCTTCTGCCTAATCCAGGTGTCAACAGGTGTCCATTACTCACCAGTCACCAAGCTACCAAGAATGCAATGCAATGTGATATTAATTTTTTTTTGTTGATTTAGACAGTAGGGAACAAGACCATTTCCTAAAATAATAATAATAAAAATTAATCATAAATTTTTTTTTAAAAAAAATTAATTTATTTTCACATGAATTCAATTTCTTAATAATTAATAATATATTTATTTCAAAACAGGTTGAAAAACTTGGTATCTTGGGACAAATTTTAAAGAGTAGTTTGTTATTTATTAAAATTAATATAAGAAGTATATTTAGAAAATAATTTAAAAAAGAGTAAAAATATCAAATGAATTGACGAATTATGAATATGTCAAATCATATTGACGAATTATGAATATGTCAAATCATTTGGCGTATTCTAAATGCGCCATCTAATTTGATGTATTCAAAGTAAAATTTTAAATAATATATAACTATTATTTAACTCAATTTTTCATTCTAAGATTTTATTTTTTAAATATTTAATAATATTATATAAATTTTCTTGTTAAAATATAATTTAAAATATTTATAGTATATATATATATAAGACAATATTCTGAAACCATTAAAAATTTAGACAATCCTGCAGAACTAGCCACTAAACATAACTTCCATTTAATATCAAAGCTCTCTTCATCATCCAGATTCCAGATCAACGGAAAACATGCAGATATTTATATCATATCAATAGGTTTCTAAAACATTTCGTCAAAATATCATAAGAGCTGAGAATACACAGAAAGATCAAGCATTTAAAAGAAAGAGTAGAAGACATGAACTAAAATAACTATCAAGTTCTTCAACTATACTGCAAAAGCAATCCTCTTACCTTATCATTGCAGAAGCGGAATGATAGATGAAGGGTAATCTGTCCTCCTTCCTGCAATCGAATAGTAAGCCAATATCTGAGCCGGATGAACTGTAACTTGATCTCCATTGTTTTCTCCTCCCTCTTGCCTACGAGGGATCAATTCTATGTTCCAGAACGGCCGATCCATAATCATAAGATCTTCGCCATTTGAAGACATAACGTAACCTTGCACCCATATGTACCTCAAGGAAGGTAATTGCAGCACAACAAGGGCCAATGCACGCTCGCTGAAGCAGCAGCCACGAAGCTCCAGCTTCTGAACCTTCGGACAACCTCGCGCAAACCGTAGAAGCCCCTCATCGGATTCGCCAACATGACCGAGAAGCATCCATTTGATGTTGTTGCTGTATTGGCCAAGATAGCCAAGGCCGACGTCCGTTAGGCCACCAGGTCTAAGATAAAGAGAAAACCTCCTGAGCTTTGTACAACCCCTTAGCAATGCAAGAATCCCGTTATCGAGAGGTAATTCTGTTATGCGTTGCTCCCTCTCAAGTAAAACTAGCCGAAAATCACGAAGGTTTTTGCTGTTGGTGCCGAAGGATTCCAAGGCGGAGTTCTTGATGTCAGAGACGTATACAGCCAGATATTCCAGTTCTAGACAACCTTGAGCTACAGCTAATAAGCCTATATGTGAAACCTTGCCGTGTTCATCCTCTAGGCCTAGTTCATCCTCCCCTCTTTCTATCCTAAGCCTTCGCAATTTCGTACAGGTCTTGCCAACAACTTGCAGACCTTTGTCTCCGATCACATCCCTCACCTGTAAATAAGTTTTGAGGAAAAGAGAAGATGACTTAGTAAGATAATTAATATTACAATTAAGATGGTTGAATATATGGAGTGTAATTTTAGTAGTAATAGAAATAGTGAGGGGATTGTGACTTTGGGCAATCAAGTCATTAATACGAGTACACATTTTAGATATTTTGGATCTATTGTTTAGAGTGATGGTGAAATTGATCGGGATATTATTAGCAGAATTCAAGTTGGATGGTTGAAGTGGAGGAATGGATCAGGTTTATTGTGCGATAGAAAAGTCCCCATCAAATTTAAGGGAAAATTCTATAAGATGGTGGTGAGACCTGCAATGCTTTATGGTGCTGAATGTTGGCCATTAAAAGAGAAGCATAATACTAAGTTAAGTGTTGCAGAGATGATGATGCTTAGGTGGATGAGTGGCTTGACCCTTAGAGATAGGATACGAAATGAGCATATACGTGAAAAGGTTGGAGTAGCTCCAGTGAACATAAGATTAGAGAGAGTCGCCTTAGATGGTTTGGTTACATTAAACGGAGGCCTTCCAATGACCCGGTTAGGAAAGTTGAGGTATGAGATTTGACTTATGTTAAGGAAGGTAGCGGTAGACCTAAAAAGACTTGGTTAGAAAATATTAGAAATGATCTCTCTTTATTAGATTTAAATGAGAATTTCACTTTTAACCGGACAAAATGGAGAAAAAGAATTCATGTAGCCAACCCCACGTAGTGGGACAAAAGCTTGATCTTGTTGTTGTTGTCAAATGAAGATGGTGAGGCATTTTGGAGCAACTATTGAAGGATACCTCAAGAACTTCTAAGTTAGGGCAACGCTGAATAAGCTGGCAGTGGTCCTCAGTGCTTAAAAATGTATATTGTAGGTCCAACTTCTTCAGGGCAGCAGCAACTGGAAATATTATGTGCATCTCATCCATCCCCAGGTAGCTGAGACCTAAACTACGTAGCTTTCGTGGAAAAGAAATCTTGCTGTACTTATTATCGTCTCCAGCTTGACCATCAAAAGAACCCCCACCAAACTCTTCTAGCCCAGTAGCCATGTCCAAGACGCCAACTAAGTCAGAGATATCGCATTCACTAATCTTCAGAGAAACAAGAGACTGGCAGTTTTTTGCAATTAACGCGAGGTCTTTCCATGAAACCTGGAGCTCAGTATTATAAAAACTTAACGTCTCAAGAGCAGAATTGTTCATTGCAAGATGATGTAGCCAGTCTCCATTTTTCTCAAAGATGGAGCTCTCGTCCAGAAATAAAGTTCTGAGGGATCTGCAGAGGTTAATAGTAACTTTTGCTAATTAAGAAAAATATAATGTGCTAAAACAAGAATAGTGGCAACTAACAAATTTCATGAAACCGGTAAATTGAGATGACAACAAACGCAAATAAAAAGGACTACCTCGCAATATAGAAACACTTTCAGCAACTTCAAACGAATATTCAAAACAATTTGCATGCCCAAATATAAATAGACTTAATAAAGAATATAACTATACTTCTTAACACCAAGAAACAAGCTTTAAAATAAGTAACTTATAAAACATCAAGTTCTTCCACAAGAAATCTGCGGAATTATTATTCATTCCAATGGAAGCAAGGAAGGATTTTGAAATTAGACAAAGAAGCATACAAGAAATAAGGCTTCTTTACTAGGACAATTTGGAAATAAAAGAAAACATGCAGACTACAAAGAAGAGTTGGATATGGCAATCAGTTGGATCTTTAAAAGAATAAACAACAAAAATGTCACCAAGGAAATAAAATCAGGACAAATAATGATGAAGTTTTTAAAAGGTTCCAAGGTTGTTGGAGTGGTGGTGGAAGGTTTAGTATTGGTGGAAGGCTAAAAAAGATAGTGACTAATTTTAGGATTTGAGGCAGATTTCTGGATAATTTTTTTTTTTCCAATGAATGGTAAACTTTTCTTTGATGGAAAAAAGTGAGAAACTCAAAATCAGATGTTCGGGATATTAAAGAACTAATAGATATGATTTGAGGTCAATTAAATATGTGGATAGTAACATAAGAATTTTTTTTTTTTTTTTTTTTTTTTTTTTTTTTTTGAATGAATTAGGGCTTCTAAATGAGTAGGGTTGAAATTGTTTAATGCTTTAGGAAGATAGTAGGAATGCATAAGAACTATAAACAGGGAAAAATATATTAGAGTTCACAATTTTTAACAATGATTCATAAATCAATCAGAAAGCTAGTAGCAACAACTACTATAAGACAAAATTTTGTAAAAGATTTATGCGATTTTTCATTGAACCAATAGGGGTATAAATAGCACATGATTTTTTTAAGAAAAAGAGGTTAAGATCTCACCAGATTTGAAAACAAATAATGCACTCAATTTTTTAAAAAATCAATTAAATATTTTATTGTTTTTTATTGAATCCTCAATTTAGATTGCATCAACTCTGCTTAACTTGATGAACTCTGCTTCATAGAGTTAAAAGTGTTATGGTGATATGAGAGGCTCAATATTCCATTTGTCTGCAAGTGGAGTATCTATAAATTTAGGAACATCATGTAGTATAATATCTATAGCTACTAAGCTAATTGATAATGACAATAGTTTTAGAAGTAAATCTACATCTCCGATAAGCAGGTTAGTTTGTCAATCCCAATACTTGATAAACACTTAAGATTTGAAGATAGCATATGCAATGAAAATAAAGTAGAAAAAATGTTAGGAAGCAAAACCAGAAAATAAGTAATAAATCAAAAGGTTCTACTCACCATGCTGTATTTGGTGAATTCATAGATACGAAATTCAGTGCAAGTTAAAAAATAATCATTATTACTATAGTTCTGAGGTAAATCATTTTAAAAAAATAGCTTTATTGCTATTTATTTTAACTCAATGATACATATATGAATAAAGGTTGAATATATAAAGTGCCAAGTAAAATGTAGCATCATACAATAAATGATGAGTCCTATAAATTAAATTATTAAGCATTAAGAACAAACCACCAATTCCATAATGCATCATAAGATGCTTAATAAGGCGAGTAAAATCTGACAAAAGAGGGATGATATTTCATCATTGGACTCCCTAATGTGTGCGTGTCAAATAAGATAGATAGGAGATTTGAGATCATAAAAGATATCATTTTTTTTAAATTGCACAATTAGAGTCCGCTTCAAGGTTTGCCTCAACAGTTTAACACAATTATAAAAAAAGGCAATGAATCGCATGCCTCATGCTTGCTTGATGAGGCTTATGCCTTAATCAGGATGACGCATGCCTCAAGTTACGTTGCTACACAATTTGAACTCAATTTTGAATGTGTTAGCCTACAAAATTAATGTTAAGGTTATATATATATATATAAAATTAAACCTATTTACCATGCCTAAACCAGACCAAATTTGCAAAGAATCGCACAAACTCAAACTCACATCTGCATGATGCACACTGCATGACCGCAATCAATCCTATTGTGTGCCTATCCTCACTACCACCGCTATTTCTCCTCCAACACCTCTTCTCTTGTTGTTGAAAACCCATTTCATTATTTATAATATGGGGTAGGACATAAAGCAACTAATTATAATGATGATTCTAATAAAAACCACTTTAAGTTATTAGAGTAGGGGAGACTTTTGAATTCATAAATTATGAACTTAGACTGCTTGTTTATGTTGACCTGGGAGACTATATATGTAACGTAGTTTATATCATTATATGACTTTTAATAGCCTTACTTTGACTTTTATGATCTTATTTTAACATCCTACTTTGATGTTAATATTTTATTTATTATTTTATATTTTTTTATTAATGTAATGGTTTAAGTAAAAGACTTATGCATCAAAATGCCCCAATGCTTGAGTCTTGCCTTAAAAAAAATCTCAATATTTGATTGCAGAATTTCAAACCTTGATAGGTATATGTGAGCTCCGAAAATTCGCGCCCTAACCTCCCCCGCTTTTAGGAAGTTTTAACGCTTTAAGTTCAGGGGGAAAATTTCAGAAGGCATATTGGGTTTAAAATAAGAGACTACCCAAAGATTTTGCCCTCATTTTGCGAGGACTTTATGACCTGAGTTCTAGTTTCTTATAGGCGCAAGCCCCTATAGTTAATTACCCCTCCCGATGCCCCTATAGTAAATTATCCCTCCAGATAACGAGAGAGAACTTTCGATTAAGGTTAGTTGTCAATCAGATTCGTAGAGATACGTGGTATCTGACGTATAGTAGCAGCACGGGTTTGGTATTTGAAATTTTGATATTCAAAATTAAAAATGTCAACATCTTGCACTTAAGGAAGATAGTGGGAGAATGGATGATGGACTCGATCAAGATCCCATGGTTTTGTTATCCTGGGTCATCATTATCCTTGATCTGCCTAGTAAGAAGAGGTAGTCGACCCAACCTAACAGAAGGATCCTTGTCGGCAACCATGGGTTGCATCATCCAAGGGTACCTTCTAGACCTCGGGTGGATGTTTGTCTAAAAGGACAAATTTGAATCCACTTTAGCTGATAAAGAACTTTGTGTCTTATCAATCATATCCTATTGATTCATATATTAAAGATTTAGTATCATTGGGAGCATACGAGCTCTGGTCATGACCATAATTTAATGGTGTCATTTGGTGGCGAATCACCTAGTTCAGAGGGCCCAGTCATAACCTTTTATTTGCAGTGTCATTTGGCGACAAAACCGTCCGTTGGAAGATATGTGACACGTCCTTGATGGCAAAAAACTGTTTGAGAATGAATCTTAGTGATATTCTCGACCAAAAATTAGTTACTTATGAGCTAAAGTGATATTTAAATTTGTCCACCTCGGCAAACTATTGCGGAGCGTGGATGGGTTTTGCTTTAAGCGTTTTGGTGTTAATTTCAATTTTAAATATTTGGTATTTTTGGAGTTCTGAATTTCATAGGCATTTGAGAATTTGGGAGATGTTTTGAATATTTGAAATTAACCTCTTCAGTTGAGATATATATTCAACACAACCATCATCGGGGTATTTATGGGAAATTTCATTCATGGGTTGAACCTTCGACTCTGTCGACTCTGTCTACAGAGGATCGAATTCTTTATTGACTTTATGGCTTTATTAGTGATTTTTCTTGGTTATGTCCTTGAAGGCATAATATGAACGTATTAAAATAAATATCTTGGTCAAATCCGTAACCGTATATTTATTTGATAGTTCGAGCTGTCCAATGTTTAAAATTGCGTAATCGGGTATTAAGGCGTTTTTCGTTCTTGAGACAAGGCGTAAGCCTCAAAATCAAAAAATTGCGTAAACATAACATGATAAATTTTGTATATACTAATGAGTAAATAATATATAAAATATAAAAATGCACAAGATATGAAGTGAAATCAAAATATCCCAATAATAAGACAACATGAAATATAGTTCAACTCAAACTCTATATTTCCCAAATCACAGTATTATTTTCATTAACATGTAATTCCAAAAATAAATAGTAAAGACACATCACATAAGAACCCATAAGTCATTAGCACTGTCATCACTAAGGGGGTCTTCATTTGAATCATCATTATGATGAATTTCTATCTCCCCTTCTTCCTCTCCTATAGAGTCCAATGTCTCCCAATCAGCTCCTTCCTCAATATCGATTATCTTCCTCTCATCTAAATATTTTCAAATAATTATGCTTCACTTATTCTACATTAAGAAAACTTATACAAATGATGCACTCATGAAGAAGTAAACTATCACTAATATTTTTTATTGTAAGAGTTATTTTGAAGTTTTGCTTGTTTTCAAAGTTCATAAGTTATTTTTATGGAAAGATACTGAGCGATACCGAGCATGTACTGAACGGTACCGAACATTTTGTAATATTCCACTATAGCTAGCTATGAAAGTGATTGTTGCCGACGAGCATGCAGGATTTTGTCTTGGAAACCATAGAAGCCTTTTGTCCATTTATATACATGTTGCAAATCCGTTGGTGTGACGTCATGTTTCAGTGGGAATTTATAAATGTCTTCTGTTCGTTTGTATGGATGTTGCCGATCCAGTGGCGTGGCATCATAAGTGTGAGTTGCTTGCTGCTTTATTCAGGCAGGCTATCATGCACTAACGAACCTCCTTTTGTGACATGATTAATCAGCGCGTTGGGCTTCATTTGTCGTGCGTCAGCAATGCAGTTTCGTTCACTTCATCTTCCGCATATTTCCCTCTCCTTCAACATTCATTCTGCAAAATTGTACTTCTACCATCAGATGCACTATACGACATATCATGAACCTTCCACCTGTTGTCTGCAAGTAAACTCATCTATTCGGCGTGACAGCCTGGCATCGTATATGTGATGCTTTAATTTACTAGTGGCCCACAATTTTTAACTACAGATTCTATGCTTTTGCTTATAGGTGAATCGTAGCATTTTGTTGTAGATAGTTCGTTGCCTTTTGTGAGCGAGTTATTGCATATTACAAGTTTTATTGGAGATTTAGGAGTCACCCGTTATTGTATACGAACTACTGTGTACACAACAAATTTTCTGTAGTGGCTCGAAGATGCCCATATTTATCACAGGATCATTGCTTTTTTCTATAGACAATGTATCGCATTCATCGTCCGTTACACACTTACATTATATATGTTTGTAAGAGATTTTGTTATTTGCAGGCAGGACCATTGTATGTATTGCAAACCCTCCATTGTCATATGCAGGCAAGTGGCACTAAATGCAAATCTTCTAGTGCTACCCATAGGTAGAGTGTTGTACACATGACGGATCATCTGTTATTATTCGCAAATGTTACTACGGCTCGTTTGCTGCTTTCTGCATGATGAGCTTCCTGTGGTGGCTCGCCGGGGGGGTTTGAAGGAAAATATAATTTGCATTAATAAAGAAAAGAACTTATTACAACCTACTATGTGATAGAGATTCTATCACAATCCTTTAACAAGAAAAGAAATGTAGGAGGGATCTTATTACAACTCAAATCATCCCAAAAGAAATCACCTAATAAGCCAAGGTTAGCACAATAATCTGCTAACTTATTACATTTTCTATTTGCAAAATGAAAAAAGAACTTTCCAAAGCCTTCCAAGAAAGATAAGTCCTCCCATTCTTCCTTATGCTTGTAGGGGGAGTTAGTGTATTTGGTACTGCTGCATATTCTCCACCTTTCCTGTAGTAGATCGCTATGCTTTATTTGTGAGGTTGATTTCCTCATTGGAGAGAAAGGAGTGAAAATCTTTGAGATAAATTTGTTGTAGTTTTGTTTGGATGGTTGTATTGAATGCATTGTAAGAAGAGGGAAGATCATTTAAATTATAGAGGATGATATTTTTTAGGATCTAGAGGTGTACTAGAAACCTCTATTGTAATGACTTTGGATTATTTCCAAATGATATTATTGCAATGATTGTTTCTTCATGGATAAATGGTGACATTCATTTTGAAGTTGGAGAATGTGGGGATGGTTAGTAGATTGAAGGCAATGGTTTAGATTTGTCCAAATTTCAATGGTGGAGTCTAAGTTGAGAACATAAGTGAGAAGTAACAGTGAGATAATGAAGTTTAGGCTAGCTGTGAGAGGTGGGAAAGGAATTGACAAGGGGGGAAGGTGCTGGTGCGATCGAGGTAGTAGCCTTCAAAGTCATTAGCCCTAAAAAGCATGAGGACTTTTGAGTGCCATATAGGATGGTTATTGGGAGTGAGCTGGGCGTTGATGATGCTTTTGATACTGGACATAAGAAAATTGAGAGAGGGGATAGAGAGTTCATGAAGGCAGCTGCTGGTTCATAAGTGACGGCTCTTTGAAGTACATTAGGATATGACATATGACATTAGATAAGAAGAATGGATGTCATGAAGCTACATGTTCTGATGCAATGAAGGCATTCTACAGTAAATGAGTAAAGGAAGAAGAAGATAAAAAAAGGACAAGAGGAACTGGAAAAGGTTTTTGTATCATTTTTTCAGTAATTTCAAAACACTTACAGTGGCCGTTTTATACTTCTAACTACTGCAGAGTTTGTTACTATAGTACAAAGATTGTTAGAGATCAATGGTGTAAATCAGTGTTGCTATTTCTAATGAATAGCTGATTCATATTGTTGAGTTCTGTTAAAATATATATTATATAAAAACCTGAAAAATTGGCCTCATCAGCAACAACAACAACAACATCAAGCCTTTATCCCACTACGTGGGGTCGGCTACATGAATCTTTTTTCTCCATTGTGTCCTATTAAAAGTCAAATTCTCGTTTAAATCTAATAAAGAAAGGTCATTCCTAATATTTTCTAACCAAGTCTTTTTAGGTCTACCCCTACCTTTCTTAACACAAGTCAAATCTAATACCTCTACTCTCCTAACTGGGTCATCGGAAGGCCACTTTTTTATGTGACCAAACCATCTAAGGCGACTCTCTCTAATCTTATCTTCTATTGGAGCTACTCCAACCTTTTCACGTATATGCTCATTTCGTATCTTATCTCTAAGGGTAAAGCCACTCATCCACCTGAGCATCCTCATCTCTGTCACACTTAACTTAGTATTATGCTTCTCTTTTAATGGCCAACATTCGGCACCATAAAGCATTGCAGGCCTCACTACCATCTTATAGAATTTTCCCTTAAGTTTGAGGGGTACATTTCTATCACATAACAAGCCCGATGCATTCCTCCACTTCAACCATCCAACTTGAATTCTGTTGATAATATCCCCATCTATTTCACCATCACTCTGAACAATAGATCCAAGATATCTAAAACGTGTACTCTTAATACTCTTATTAATGAATTGATCGCCCAAAGTCACAATCCCCTCACTAGGTCTATTACTACTAAAATTACACTCCATATATTCCGTTTTAGATCTACTCAAGCGAAAACCTTTAGACTCTAAGGTTGACCTCCATAATTCAAGTTTACCTTCAACTCCCTCTCTAGTCTTATCAGCAAGAAGAATATCATCAGCAAAAAGCATACACCAAGGTACATCCTCTTGCAAATGTCTAGTGAGAACATCCATGACCAAAGCAAAAAGATATGGGCTTAAGGCTGATCCTTGATGTAACCCAACCGAAATAGGGAAATACTTGGTCAAACCACCTTGTGTTTGAACACAAGTAATAGCTCCTGCATACATATCTTTAATGATTTGAATATAAGCAATATTGACTCCTTTCTTTTCAAGAACTCTCCATAGCACTTCTCTTGGAACTTTATCATATGCTTTTTCTAAATCAATAAATATCATATGTAGATCCTCCTTATTTTCTCTATATTTCTCCATCAAACCTCTTAATGAATGTATGGCTTTCATAGTCGACTTACCCGGCATGAATCCAAATTGATTTTGAGAAACATTAGTATCACGCCGCAACCTATGCTCCATAACTCGCTCCCATAGTTTTAAAGTATGACACATTAACTTAATACCTCTATAATTCGTACAATCCTGTGCATAACCTTTATTCTAAAAAATAAGAATAAAAAATCTCGAGGGGGTTTAACAAAAGAAACAGCAATTATCCAAAGAAGGAAGTAGTTAAATAAGCTCAGTACCTGTAAAAATCTTTCATATTGTGATAACCCGGAAAATTGGCAGCTAAGTGATAGTAAGAAGTAAATATAATAAAAGAAGGCAAAAAAAACACAACTAAAGTTCAGCCAAATTAAATTACCTGCAGGAGTTGGCAATAAAAAGAAGACCGTCTGTTGAAAACCCAGAGCATTTATCCAGCATCAGCGACTGCAAAGTATGACTTCTAGCACGAACCAGGATATCAATGTCTGCATCCTTCACAATCATCCGGCGGAAGTGAAGCGATTTCAAGCACGTAAAGTTAAGAGCAGCCTCGTTGATCCACGGCCCGGCGTAGCCTCCCCAATCTTCAGGGATAAGATTAAAGAACATAGCCGCTCGGGGCTTCCCTTTGACCTTGAGTGACTCCACCCCGGGAAACCTCTTATAGAGTCTCTGCGGGGTTGTCGAGTAGCAGACGGCGATCGTCACGTGCTTCCGCGTCAGACAATCAATTCGGTGCCACTTCTTGCAGACCAGAGAGATCGCAGCTCGGTCGCAAGGATCGTGTATGTAATCCATCACGCATTCGAGCGCCAAATCCCACATCCCTAAGCTAAATACTCTTTTGAGTTCCCTGTTCTCCATCCCCGCCGTTCTTAGTTATCAAGGCTCCCAGCTCGGCAGGTCCCTGTGAATCTTATAAGCTTAAACAGCAAACTACTCCAATCACCGAATCTCACAGCAGAGACAAAAGAATTGAAGGAGACAAGAAGGACGGATCCATGAATCCTTAGTTCAGGTAAGCAACCTGGAAGCTTCAGAACGGCAGACCTATCACGCCCACTCTAACCAAGGCTGAAATCTAAAATTCGGCGGCTCCGTCCACCGGCAATTTCCGCCCAGGAAATCATCGGATTGACGCCCGCCACGGTCTAGAAGTAGACCAAAAGAATCCACTGTAGCTCACAGAGTCTTCCTCATCACAGGATGTCGTCCACTCCTTTTCTTCTTCATTGTTAATTATTATCCGAATTGCAGTGAGAAAAATAAATAAATAAATATAGAACATACGAAAAACAATCATGTGTCCTTCCAAAAAAGAAAAAAAGTTTAAAATTTTTATCTTTTTTAATTTATTGTCACCCACTCACCCAGTAAAAATCGTAAGAGATTGGGATTTTCTTACCTAACCCTTGAAAAATGACTTTTTTTTGTAGTTATAAACACCCACATCTTATTAATAATATAATAAAAAAAAAGAACTTTTGCATCCCATTAGAAGACGACTTCCTCTATTTTGCTACAGATTTAAGAGAGATTATTTTGTGCGGAGGTCGCCTGCATTTCTACTTTTGGAGGTGAATCATGTGCAGTCAAGTCAACGGTACCGAACAGATGGGTGATATGGCGCATTTTGATTGGCCTCCAAACGATGTTCAACATCCGCACAAAATAATTAATACAAATTTAAGATCTGTTTGGCAGTAGCTTTAAGGTAAAATTTAAGTGGGATTTATATTAAATATTATCAAATAACAAAATTGAGGAATTTAAAGCTTAGAAAATATTAAGGCTTCGTTCGAACGACTTTCTTACTGCTTCTTAAAGAACCTTTTTAACACAAAAATTAAAATTGTGTACTAAAAAATTATTTTAAGAAATAGTAAGAAAGCTGTCCCAAATGAAATCTAAATCTCTTTTCCTTCTGTTATATCATCAATCTCTAACTCATTAAACCTATTAAATTTCTTGATTTAATGAAGTTGATGGATTTATGAGAAGAAATATGCGTAATATTCTCCTCACAGTCTTCACTTCTCTTGCATATTTATTCTTGATTAGAAGGAACTCCCATGCATTGCTGCACACTGCAACAGTATTCTCTCCCCTAACTACATTTACATTTAGGGGTGTCAATATTGGACACGACCCGAAAATCCGATCCGAACACGACACGAAAATTTTGGGTGCGGGTTGACTCGAACCCGAACTGGGTCGGGTTCGGGTTAGGGTTTTCGACCCGTTTCAGAAATCGGGTCAGGTTCGGGTAGACCCGAAAACCCGGAAATGACACGAATTGACCCGCTGACTGAGCTGCCCGGTTGACCACCTCTGCCCGTGGCCAATCTCACGTGGCAGCGTGACTCCCCCCTACTTGCCCGCTAAGGTGCTAATCGAGCTGTCGCGTGAGTCACCACTGCCCGTGGCCAATCCCGCCCCTGCCCTGCTTGCCCGCCGCTGCCCGTCAACCAGTGCCAAATCCCGCTCCTGTCCGGCTGCCCCACTCGCCCGCGTGCCTGCATGTCCCGAGGATCCGAGCTCAAGTTCTTCCGCGTGACTGTGTCCAGGCCCGCGTGAGGGGCAGCCAAGCTGGCCAGCTTGCCGGCTGCCGCGTCCAGGCCTGTGCCCGCCTTCCAGGACCTCCAGGTTCAGTTGTCCGGCCGCTGGCGTCCGGCCTCCAGCGTCCCTCTGCTCATGTTGGCACCCGCTTTCGAGTCGTGTCGGGTTGACCCGGTCCAGAAAACTGACCCATTTATAAAAATGGGTCGGGTTCGGGTTGACCTAAACAGTATCGAGTCAGTTTTGGGTTCAGCCCGAACCCGACCCGTGACCCAAAATTGACACCCCTATTTACATTCATCATATCCTTCTAACTATGCCTCTTCTCAGCGGTCACATATTATCACATCCCCTCTTCGTAAAACATTATTCTTAAATATCATTAAGTAATATATTTTCACACAGCCATTCCTCCTTTTCCTTTATTATTTCTATGAAATCATAATCAATTATTTTTAATATGTATTTACATATTACTTGGTGTTCTACATATATATCGTTAGTGAGTGCAATTAGAAACTATCTAGTTAGATTAAATTGCTCCTTCATAGAATTGTGGAAAGGATTCATGAGTCGGGCTCGAAGGGCGTTCATTGAGATGTCGCCGACTTGATGATATTTGAAATCATTGGGCAAGACTAATTTTGATGAGGACATTAGTAGGAAATTCCGGAATGTCTACTGTCGGAAGCATCGTAAATCGACGGCTCCGATGAGGAGTTTATATATTTGATATATTTTATGTATTAGTTCATATTTACTTTATTTATGTTTGTACCCTTACTTGTGTGTTGATTTGAGTTGTAGCCCTATGGGCATGTTAGTCCTTTTTTTTTCTATGAGGCCTATATATTAGGTCATTCATCTTGTATTTGGGATGATGATTATGAAAGAAATTCTAGCTTTTTTTGTTTGATATCTTTGTGAGTTCTTGAGAGGAGAAACTTTAGGAGAGGGCCTTGCAACTCCCGTCAGCCGCCGGTGGATTCCGAGACTCACGGTTAGTACTTAGTATTTCCTTCTTGGTTACCACCATCGGCCACCTAGCCCAAGACCCCTTGCCGCCGGCCGAATCTTCCAAAGTCCAAACCCCTTCTCTTTCCTTCCCTAACCCGCCAACCCTCACCACCTCCCTAAGCCGTCGGCCTCCCCTCACCCGTCCGCCGCCAGTCTCCCCCTAGCCTCCTCCACGCCGGCCTCCCCGAGCCTCCACTAGCCGCCGGCCCCTCCCTCCCTGACCTTTGAATTTTGAATTTCAAAATTCAAATCAACCTTAATTACTTTCCTAATTTCCTTACTATTAATTTGGAAAATTGCCTCATTTGAATTCAAATTATATTTGAATTTCAAAGATTTTCCTATTAATAAACTTAAATTAGGAAACCTTCTAATTACATTAAATTTGAAAGCAATTTCATAATGACAATCCCTAATTAAAATCCTCCCCAGACCCATACATCGAACCTAGACACATCAAATCCCTCCCCCTATGGTCGCCCCCTCTATAGCCCCATTCTCTCTCCAATTAGCCACCTAGACTCTCATTAAATGCCCCATAAATTCCCCTTGGTTGCCGCCCCACTTAAGCCCTCAATTAGGATTAATTTGGATTTCAAATTAATCTTTCCCTCCATAAAAAATCAGAGAATTAATTTCAGATCTCCTTCAACCTAAGCCCTTCTAATTCACCACCCTCCATCCCAACACAACCCACCGTAACCCTAGCCGAAATTCTCCTCCTCTCCAACTCTCCCCCACCTTTCTCCTCCACATACAAGGATTATCTTCAAGCCGACGTCGCCCCCATGCATGACCAATCCAGAACACAATCACGGATTCGTGTATGATGATCAAGGATGAACAGATCTTCTCTGATCCCCTTTCTTCGACTTAAACTTGAACGTTGACGATACCGTGGACGATTACGTGGATCGCATCCTCTTCACATTTGTACCTTCCATCGAAGAGCATCTTCCAACCGGACATTGGCGAATCACCGGTTATCATAGCATTAATGTTTAGTAATGATATAAACAACTCAAACTAAGAGATATGGTTGACCAAATTTATCTTTCCCTTATATGAATCTAAGTGTGAAACCTTGAATTTTATTGGAGGCTATGATCAATAATCTCTCTAGAGAACACACTTGTCATTTGTAGCTAACACTTCTATTCTTTCGAAGTGGAGTTAATTTTGCCCTACTTTTTGAAGAATAAGTATCATCCCTACTTGGAGTCAAGGTCAACACCCTTAGACTTCATGGTTGAGGATGAATGATGACGTTAAAGGATTCTTCTTCAAGAGCTTCTATCCGCGGAATGGTTATGAGAACACGCTCTTAAACTTCTTAGATTATTCTAACGTGTCATTCCTCCATTTGATTGAATTTTCTGTTGGTGACAATGTCTTAGTTCTCCATTTTAATTGATCTCACATTGAGTTTCCTGATGGAGTCAAGGTCTACTAAGAAATGTCCCTAGCTAGCCTATAACTGATCAATCACATTGAATGTGCATAATAATTTCCAAATAAGGAAAGATTTTATGTGAGTCACTGGCTGAATTTGCCAAGGTTGGCCAAGTTAATGAAAAGAGCCTTACAAACTATTGTAAGTTGTAAGACTTAAGTACTTTTTACATTACAACATTCTATGATTCTACATGATTGCTTCCCACCTTGTCTGTCAGATGTATTACATAATAGAATATTTTTCTCAAATGATAATGTTTTTGAAAGCGATATGTTATAAATAAAAGAAGCAGCCAACTATCTACAATTGTTGCTAAAAGTCATATCAAAGCGAGTAATACAATGAATTTAGTGTATGGATATCTTGTTGGTGGTGAGATGTACTGGCATCAATTAGGAGTGATAGTTATTGTAATCGTTAATAAATATCACCCACTAAATCTAGGGTCCTCTTCATGTGAGGACGTACATAGCATGAGTCTGTAAGTTGGCACTAATTTTGATAATACAAATTATTTTAAGAATCTTCTTCGAACAAAAGATATTTCAAAGAGTTTTTCAGCAAAAAATAAAGCTAGTGATAAAAGAAGACTCAAAGCTATTTGATCTTTTGAGATTTTCCTCAAAGAGTTAGAACATTAAAATATAAAGATGATCAAATATTGGAAGTTAGAAAGATCATTCATGTAAATATTTAGGAACATGTAAAGAAAAATTCATTGTAGCACGATCATATATTCATGTGGCTGAGATAGAATAATGATATGAAAAAGGGGAAGCGAATTTGGAGAAAGAAAAAAGCAATTGTGAATTTTGATAAGTCGATCATTTTACTATATAAGCAAATTGCATTTATTGATACAAAGGAACCTATGATGCACCGATACTTCTCCTCAAAAAGCCGTGCAGTGTCCGACCGTATTTAACATGACACGTGTGACAGCCCAAACTCTTAACTATCGAGATATTGTCCGCTTTGTCCTAAGAGTCTCACGATTTTGTAATGTTGGTGTAACTTCCCAGTAGGTCAGCCATCCCAAAATTGCTCTGAAATAAACACGCTTAACTACGAAGTTTCTTAAATGAAATTCAACTATCACATCAAAAGGCGCCTTGATATTTAAGAGTTCAACTTTTTTTACTTAAGCGATTTTACAATCTCCCCCACTTAAGTAACTGACATCCTTAACAATATCTTTATCCCAGAATCATCAAACAGGCAGATAGGATTCTAGAGGTGGCCCTACAAGTTCAAGTGGTGGCTCTCGTCATGTAGCACTTTATCCCATACAAGGTTCAAGAGGTGACTCTCATGGCGTAGCACTTTGTCTTATATGGCACTTAGTTCCCATCTTCCGACTGGTATATTGATCTGATATCATTTTGTAACAATTCAAACTCTTAACTATTGAGATATTATCCGCTTTGGCCTAAGAGTCTCACGGTTTTGTCCTATCGGAGTAACTTCTCAGTACGTCACTCATCCCAGAATTGTTCTGAGATGAGCAAGCTTAATTGCAGAGTTTCTTAATGAAATTCAACCATTACACCAAAAGGCGCCTCAATGTTTAAGAGTTTAGTTTCTTTTAGTTAAGGAGTTTCACAACACACGTCTGACACGCCTCTGACACATGTCGGATACGTCGAAAATGTGTCTGATTAAAAAAATATAAAATACAAATTGGTCACGCGTGTCTTAAATATTTTATGCATTTTTTTAATATAATTTCTTGTATTTAAAATTTTTATTTATTTAAAATATAAAAATTAAATTTCTTATTTCCTATCCACAACACTAAATCAATCGCTTGCACTAAATACCTCATTCATCGTATATTCTCATTTTCATTTCTCTTTAGCGGGTCGCAATTTTGGTTTCACAACAATACCCAATGTCATCTTAACATCGACGTCTAGCGCCATTACAACATCGACATTTCAAATCCATCTCGACATAAAATTCTGACACGATCTTGGCACTGATTCTTGACGCTAGTAACTTCTGCACCCAAAACTTGGTAGCACATCTTGTCTGACGTCCTCTTAACATCGACAACTAATGCCCTCTCAACATCTACGATAGACGCCCTCTTGACATCGATGTCCAATATTTATTGCATAGCATTGATGCCTGACTCTCGACAGCATTGTCACCTCCTCTCTCGATGTCTAATGCACAGCATCGACATCCTAATGTTAATCATTTTAAGCAGAAATTCCAATTAAATGACTTATTATTTCAAAATTATTTTTAATATTATACTAATTCAATTTTTATGAACTATTTTAAAATGTAAAAATTATAATATTGTGTCCAACTCGTGTCTGTATCCTATATTTTCAATAATTGGCGTGTCCCGTGTCCGTGTCCATATTTGTGCATCATAGAAATGAACACTCATTGGCATACTTATAATGATGGGTACTACAATGTGATAAGGTACGCTTAGCTTTATAGATGATTTGTTATATGTGTATTATCCTAACTTATACTAATTATTTATTTCATATCTAGAATAGTATATGAAGGGGCAATATCTACACTCCCATGCAAAAGACCAATGGACCAGACATTGCGATGGATTGAAAATAACAGTTCTAACACTATGAAGCCTAGAGGTAGGCCAAGGAGTAGAATTAGAAGTTCTACAGAGATAAGTTCAAAGACTACACAAATGTAATAGATGCGACATTTACAGTCATCACAAAAATATTTGTAAAGTTACACTTAAATTAGATGTTGGCGTCAGTAAGAAGCATTCTTCAACAGGAACTGAAAAAAGAAAATAGATGTGATAATAACCATATGTTCGGCATTTTGGTTTAATTTTACTTCAAATCCTTTACTTTCTAATCATATTTATGCTATGATAATCTAGGAATTATCCTATGTTTAATGAAGCATTCACATATCATGAAGTCTACACGCAGCATGAAGCAAACACCCTATTACTTGAAGTTATTTTAGTGGATGAAGATGGTACCTTATCTGTCGATAGTGCGCCTTCATTTGCTGAACCAAGAAAAATCAGCCATACCTCAAAGTTGGCCTTTAGAAGGAGACTTGATGGAACAAATGTTTATGCACGCTAAGTTTGCCTTACACATGCTCTTTATCCTGTGCGTAAAGCTCCATTGTTTGTCATATAATTCATTGAATTGCAAGGATTTAATTCATTATTAAAAAAAAAAAGATCAATGTCTTACCATATAATATCACCAATAATCTCCACAAGAACAATTTCCATCTTTGAAATGATGAAACCGACTAACATCCCTCACCACAATCTCTCTATCCATAATTTTAGATATGAATTTAATGGCGTTATGGCAATCACTGCATACACGCAAATTCTTCATTATTCTGATTGGGGATCCGTTGGGCAAGCTTAAAAGTGAGAATGCAATAGCCAGCTTCTCACTGTGATGAGCCAAGCTGCATTCTTTCTCCTCATCTTCCATGTCATGAAGAACCATACTAGTATCTGGCACATAACCCTGTTCTCTCATTTTACCAATCAACTCTCTCAAGTACTCATCAATCTCACTTTGCCTAGGATGTGATCTCTCGCTAGTTGAGAACTGATGGACCTCGCCTTTGAGCTCCATCCAGCTGACTCCAGGTTCCTTCCTCACCTTCCTCTCCCTCATGGAGCTCCTAACATCTGAAACATCACTCCATCTTGCAGCAGCAGCACTAAAATTTGAGATCAGGACATAAGATGCCGAATCCTCAGGGTCCAGCCTCAACACAAGCTCAGCCACCCTCTCCATCATCTCTGTGTTCTTGTGAATTTTGCACGCAGACAAAAGGGTTTTCCATATAACTCCATCTGCTTCCACAGTCATGGATTTGATCAGGGCTTCAGCATCATCAAGTTGTCCTGCCCGGCCTAGGAGATCCACAATGCAAGTGTAGTGCTTTAATGAAGGCTGCAGTTCATACTTCTTGTTCATTAGCTCCAAATAACCTAAACCCTCATCCTTCAATCCACTGTGACAGCAAGCATATAACAGACTCAGGAAGGTAACTTCACTCGGCTCAATTCCATAATTTACCATTTTCTCAAATAGCTCAATCGCCATCCTCCCATGTCCATGAAAACCATAAGCTGCAATCATTGCACTCCACAGAACAAGATCAGATTCTTCTGACGAGTCATCAAATAAATTGATGGAATCCTGTAAACAACCACATTTGGAGTACATGCTGACTAGTGAACTAGTAACTGGCACTGATGAATCAACTCCAGATCTGATTACTTGTGCATGGACCTGCTGCCCCTGGCCAAGGGCTGACAATTCAGAGCAAGAACTTATAGCACTCACAAAAGTGACCTGATCAGGGGCTAAGCCTGCAGCCATCATCAAACTAAAATGCCGAAGAGCACCCTCATAATCTCCATTCTGTGCCCTGCCAGCGATGACAGTGTTGCAGGAAACGACATTAAGAACAGGCATTAGCTTCAATGCTCTCTCACCTTCTTGGAGCCACCCACACTTCATGTACATGTGAGCAAGAGAGCTCCCAACACAGATATCCGCTTCAAACCCAGACAGAATGAGGTAACCATGAATCTGGTGGCCAAAGGTGAGAACTTTCAACCCAGCACAGCACCGCAAAGCACTGGCTAAGCTGAACTCGTCTGGTTGTAGACCCACCCTTCTCATGTCGGCCAAGAGTTCTAAACCCTCTCTATCAAACCCGAAATGTGTATACCCGGTGACCATGGCATTCCAGGTGGCGACGTTCCTCTCGGGCATTTCGTCGAACAGCTTGCGGGCAGAGTTGATGTCCCCGTTTTGAACGAAGCCACCAATGAGAATATTGTATGACATGATGTTCTTTCGAGGCATTCTGGCAAAGAGCGAGGCGGAAGCATGCTGGTCGCCGAGCTTGGAGTACATGTGAAGGAGGTGATTGGCAGTGAAACGGTCGGCCGAGGCGCCGCAAGTGACAATGAAACCGTGGAGTTGCCGACCATGAGACAGGGATTCCTGCGGGATGGAACATCCTTTTAGGAGATAGGAAAAGAGATTTAGGTCAGCAAAGACCTCGGGAATGAAGCCGTAAAGGGCCTGTCGAAGAAATCCTCTGGAGCAGAGATTGGTGAACTCTTCCTTGGATTTTGGAGGGGAAGAGAAGAAGACCTTGGTGAGAAGGGGCTTGGCCATGTGAAGGCTGGGATAAGGAAGCCATGGAGTTAATTGGAGGACAGAGCTCGAACAAGAGGAAGGTGAACATGGCTTCTATGTAAAGTATGTAAACAGAGCCTGGACTGGAGAAAATCCATATTCGCTCTCTGTTACATTAGAAGAAAGGCGCCGCTTACAAACTGCAGTGGTTCGATCGAACAACTTCGGAGTATTTATTTATTTATTTTGTAAGGGGCTTAAGTTTGGTTTGAGATGATATTTTTATTGTTTTCTAATGAATTTTTAGCAAAAAAATAAATATTTTATATTAAAAATTTTAATTTAAAAGGAATAAGAAAAAATTATCCCAAACAAAACATTAATCTCAAATTATTGAAGCAATAAAAAATAGTCTCATTAAAGCTACTCCCTAAGATCTCAAAGCCACTCAAAGAGCTCAACAAGCCTTGGTGAAGTCTAAGATGCTTCACATGGATTTGACCCATGCTATGAAATCAATGTGTTTTATAAGCTACAAGCTAGTTAAGCTCAATTATTTTTCAATAATTATTTGTTAAGTTTTCTATATATAATTTTACTTATAGCACTTAAATGTAGCTTTTCTTGGTGCATTATGCCTTGACATATGTATGATGTAATGGATAAAGTGGTGTTTGATGTGTAGTTTGATGGTGATTAATTTTTTTAGAGTGAAAGAATGTAAGTGAATCTGTTGGGAGTGATTTGAAGCTTAAAAAGCTTTTGGAAGGTTGAGATTTGAAGCTCGCTAAGGTCTACCAAGGGTTAATAGGATTCAGGTTGATTTTTAGGTGGCTTATGAAGACAAAGCTGTTTAAAGTAAGAAACGCGCAGAGATTGCTATGAAATCAATGTCTATTATAAGCTACAAGCTAGTTAAGCTCAATTATTTTACAATAATTGCTTGTTAAGTTGTTTATATATAATTTTACTTATAGCACTTAAATGTAGCTTTTCTTGGTGCATTATGCCTTGACATATGTATGGATAAAGTGGTGTTATATGTATAGTTTGATGGTGATTATTTTTTTAGAGTGAAAGAATGTAAGAGAATCTTTTGGGAGTGATTTGGAGCTTAAAAAGCTTATGGATGGTTGAGATTTGAAGCTTGTTAAGGTCTACCAAGGCCAGGTTAGTAGGATTCAGGCTTATTTTTAGGTGGCTTATGAAGACAAAGTTGTTTAAAATAAGATACACGCAAAGATGAAGAAGAGTAGAAATGGGAATATAATTTTGTATTAATTTGTGGTACATCCCTACTATAGTATTACACAAGCATTGGTATAAATGCAAACAAAAGCAGCTACATAAATAATGAGTTGATAGTGGGTGTTGTTGTCAGGTAAGAGGATGCGAGTTGAAGTTATTATGTGGTGCAGTAGATAGCTTGGCATGTGACACTTGATAAAAGATGGCTTGCTTATCATGATGCTTATCATGGCCCCTCAAATTAGGTCATTGAGGAGAAGAGAGTTAATTTATTTTTGAGAGAGTGAAATATGGACGGAGATAGCTCCTTTATGAAGATATCATCAAGCTGGTCTATAGTGTTCATATGGTGGTTAAAAGACTTCCTTTGATTGAATTGTGACACTAAAAAATGGTAATCGATCTTGGTGTGAGCGTGGAACATCGAATTTGTAGCTAGGGCAAGTGTGGAGATGTTGTCGTAGTAAACAGGGTTGGACGAAGGCCGAGGAATGTTGAACTAGGATAGTGAATAATGAAGCCATACTGTGTTGGATGTTGTACTGGCGAGGGCCTTGTATTCTTCTTATGTTGAAGATTTAGCCATTGTGGGTTTCTTCTTTACACTCCATGAAATTAGGTTGTTACCGAGAAAGGAGCAGTAGTCTTTGGTTGGTTTCATGTCGGATTGATCAGAGTCCCAATTTGAGTCAGAGTAAGAGTAGAGTGTGAGGTTTCCGCAAGTGAGACGAAAACCAAAGGAAATGGTGCCTTTAATGTAAATGAGAAGCCGTTTCATTTTTTTTAGTGTTGGTTTAGTGGATTATGTATGAATTGGCAAATGTAGTTTGTTGTGAAGATGATGCCTAGTCGTGCCGGCTATTTCCCTATAGAAAGCTAGATTGTATAATGGTTCTATGTCATTCGGTGTTTTGGATGGTTTGAGAGAGATGGGGATTCACATGGGTTTGCAGTCTGTTAGGCCAAATTTGTGGAGGATGTCTAAGGCATATTGAGATTATTAAAGGAACAGTGATGAGGGTGTGGAATTGATTTGAATGCCAAGAAAGAGTCATGGTTGGCCAAGATCTTTGAATGAGAAGTTATGGTGTAGACCTTGTGTGAGAGTAGAAAGAAGTTTGGGGTTATTGCAAGTTAGTAGGATGTCATCAAAGTATAAGAGAAGAAAGATGGATTTATTTTGATTAGAGAGTATGAATAATGAAGGATCAGATTTTCTTATTGTGAAGTTATGTTAAAGTAGAAAGTTAAAGAATGTATAAAACTATTGTCTTTGAGCTTGTTTGAGGTCATATATAACCTTATGAAGCTTACAAACGTGATTGGGGTGAAGTGGAACTTTGAAGCCGATTGGTTGGGTCATATAAACAGTTTCATTGAGGGAGCTATGGAGAAAGGCAAAATCTAAATTTTACTATTTAAATATCAAGTTCTAATTTTAATATATTTCAAAGTATTTTCAAATATAATGGATTCTTACTTTTGAAAATATCTTACAAGCTTCAAAATATTTAAAATAAGGTTTCTTTTTTATTTGAATCAATTGCTCATAGACAAATTTTAATTTAGAACACTTTACACACGCTTATATGCTGACTTGGTCATGTTAACCTTAGATCTACGTTAGTTGATCAATCGTTTTAACATCATCTATTCATTGGTCTAACATTGCACCTTAACCTCTCTACTTGATTAATTTTTATCTCAATTGATCGAGCTTAATTAACATGTAATATCAATTGATTTGATTTATAATTACAAGAATTGTAGGTAACCTAGTGAAATATTATCTCTAGAGCCTCATCCCAACCCTTCGTGTCTTGCGTTTTCTATGGTTAGAAGCTTTGAATTTTTAGCATTAGTTTCATTCACGTTTTAGAGCATAGCTCACATTTTGTTTTTCTTCAAATAAATTTAGAATCTTTCAATTTTGATAATTAGTGATTTCACTTCATGTGGGATGATATCTTCTACACATCACTATATTACTTGTTTTATGATCAATCATGTGTTCAAAAAAAGCTCATTTAAAAGTTGTTTGTATCATAAGCTACTTATGGCCTGATTTTTTATGTATATATTGTTTACATATTGATATATTTATTATTAAGGGTGTCAATTTTTGACACGACCCAGACCCGACCCGGAAAAATCCAAGTTAGGGTCAACCCGGACCCGAAACGGGTGGTGTTCGGGTTCAACAAATCAACCTGTTTTAAAAATCGGGTCGGGTTGACCCAGCAAGCCAAAATTGACACTAAAACTCCTAGTTGACCTGAAAACCCGAGATTGACCCGAAAATCGAAAATTGGCCTGATTTTTGTCCCTAAAACTAACAATTTTAAGTCAACTTCGGGTCATTCGTGTCACATCGGGTTGACCTGGACCGAATCAAGTCGGGTTCGGGTCCAGAAACCTGACTCGTTTTTAAAAATGGATCGGATTCGGGTTGACCCGAATAGTGCTGGATTAGTTCTGGATTCAACCCGAACCCGACCCGTTGACCCGAATTGACACCCCTATTTATTATAGATAAAGATGCATCACCAATTCATAAATTAAAAGTTAATCTTAGTTGAACATTTGAGATGAAAAATCTTGACCATGTTAAGGCTTTGTTAGGATATCTTATTTATTACTTTTTAAAGCAATATTTTATTACAAATATTTTTTTAATTAAAAATTTTTATATTAAAAAATTATTTTAAAAAGTAGTAATAAGATTATTCCAGACTATGTTAGATTTTGACAGCAGTTACAGAAATAGAAAGATAAATTTTATTTCTACCACTATATTAATATAATGAAACATTGTTTGAAATATTTGGTTTACAAAATACAAAGCCCATTGCTTCTCCATTCTTTAACCATTTTAATTTGTGAACTACTCCTCTAGATAAGAAGTATATGATTTATTATGTATGTTATGGTGTGCACATTAGTAAATAGTAAAATAAATTTAAAATGCCTCAAAGGCACAATTTGATATATGTGAGGAATGTATCTGATTATATTGCTGTGAAAATTTTTATTCTAACTATACACAGTAGTACTGAGCACAAGTATCGAGCTAAAAGTAACATGAAATGTTCTAATTGATCTATAAATGCCATCCGGTGTCCCCACAGAATAATTTTTCCTTCGAGTGAGCATATCTTCAGTCTTTATGAGTATATCATTAATAAATAAAAAAATCAACCTTTGATTTTTTTTTTTTTCATTGTAAAAATAGGGTTTATTACACTTACTAAACATGATAAATATCAAGTATCAAAAAATCACTCGACCCCATCGTAAAATGTTAACAGAGAATGAAGTTAAAAAAAAAAAAATGCTAACCTATCAAATTTAGGCTTTGTTTAAGATAACTTTCTTACTATTTTTTAAAACAGCTTTTTAGCACAAGAAAGCTATTTTAGAAAACAGTAAGAAAGTTATCTCAAATGAAGTCATAGAATTCCTAAACCGGTTAACCATCTCGCGTTGAGTGATACCCTTCAGTTGAGCAAGCTTAAAACCTACACCATTTTGAGAGAGAATAGATAGGGAAAGTTGGATAGAATTAGGAGTGCAAACGAGTCGTCGAGCTAGTCAGGCCTAACTCAAACTCAACTTGCGAGCCAAATCTCGAGCTCGAACTCAAGTCGAGCTCAAGCTCAACTCGTGCCAGTGAAAACTAGCTCGATGAGCGACTCGCGAGCCTTTCACCGTCTGTGACTCCGTTGATCCACCTTCCGCGATCACAAGCGCAGACAAGCAATCCTACCGCAATTCACACACGTAGACGTTGTCCGTGCTTCCAGCTTTGCCCAGCTTCCTCTCTTTGCTCGCGCCTTCCGCCTTCCACACTTTGCCCGCTATTTACCCATGCTAATTGAGTCACTCAAGAGTAATCGAGCCGCTCAAGAGTAATCGAGTCAAGCATCACCCGAGGTAGATAATCCAACAAGCTCGAAATTCTGCTCGAGCCGGCTCGACTCACCTACACACCTAGACAAACCACACCACCATGCTGATAAATGCTTCTTCTTTTTTTTCAATTTACATTCATCAATAATATTTAATATCTTATACAATTCAAGTGATTTCAAGGAAACTATTGCAGACTGCTCGTTTGCCCAACGTAACTGCTTAAACGAAGCTTAAAAGATAAATAAAAGACTAATTCCTTCTTTTTTTCTGCATATCGAGAAGTACACATTCTAAATTACTTTTCTAATCACCTAAAGGCCATAAAATCAACAATGATAGCTGTAAGCATACACATACCTAGAACATAAAGAATGAGAAACCATAATCACCGGGAAAGCTTCGCTTTTGATTTTTCAACTAGCCTGAGGTCACGGTTCAGAACTAATTTCACCGCCTTCACAAGTTCCTCCTTCACCATGAAGAGGACAGCAGCAGCAAGCACACTCTGCACTATCTTAGTGCGCATTCCCTTGTAGAAGGCAGCAAGGCCTTCGTATCTGATCATTTTCCTAATTGCATCCCAAGTACCTGTAACGTCACAGAAATTTAGGCTGCACGAGCTCACAATAAGCTTGTCATGGCTACCTAATCCATTGATAAAATCTCTACGATTCAGATTTCGTTCGGTGCTTCTTAAAAAAAAAATTTAGTACAAAAATTTTAATTTTTTACTAAAAAGCTGTTATAAAAAACAATAAGAAAGTCATCCCAAACAAAATCTCAATTGCAAATTAGCTTCTAATCACGTGCAGTAGCATATATTCTATATTGAAAACAAATTAACGCACTTGCCATAAGAAAAATGCACTTTTGAAAGCTTCCTGCCGAATCTGATGCGAGAAAATTTTCTAGATCCCAAATGGATTTAAATCTATCCATCTTATCTTAAATTTAATATGGGATAGATTTCTATCCTAAAAAGAAACTTTGTGAACCTTATGAGAATACTCTAAAAAATGGTGATTCTATTTTCACATTCAAAATAAATGAAAATAAAATCTTCATTTTCTAAAAACATTTCTGCTATTTACAAGCAACCAAATGAGGCTCAACTTAGGCTTCGTTTGGGACGACTTTTCTACTACTTCTTGAAGCAATTTTTTAATATAAAAATTTTAATTTTTCTACTAAAAAGCTGCTTCAAAAGCTATAAAAAAGCAGTCTCAAATGAAGCCTAAAATACAAAATATCAATATATGAAAAGTTGATGGCTAAAAGAAAGAGAACCAAAAAAAAGCTAGAACTTCTATTTTGCATTGAAGCCCTTCCAATCATAAACATTAAAAATGAAAAAGAGAAGTAGCTTTGGTAGGATAGAAATTGAATAATATAAACCTAAATGAATAAGATCCAATATGATTTCGGCATATTTTTTTACAAGAAAGTCGTTTTAAGAAACAGTAAAAAAGTCGTCCCAAACGAAACCTTAGTCTTCCAAGAGCTCCGTTAAGGAAAGAAAGAGATTTAGATTCAAGTTCTACCAGGGACTATGTCCAAGTTAGAGAATTGCATTTTTGTCTGAGAATTTCTCTAAAATTGGTTTGATTTGGCGAATTACTGGTCAAGTTCCAACTGAGAAAAATTAGAATGACTGCTATTTTTCTTCAAATAAGAGGATTTCTAGGCATGTTCTTTAAAGAAATGAGGCAGGCTAACCTTGGTAGTGATGCCTCCTATCAATATCAAGAGCTTGCTTTGCTTGAAGCCTTGCCTGAGAGCATGGGAAAAGGTATGTCAGATTCTAAAACCAACAAGAAAGAAGAAAAATTCTAACAAAGCATAGGTAACTACACACAGAGAAAGGACACAACTATGAAATATCTTGACAAGTCTTTGGCACTAACAGAGCTATATAACAGTAAGGATTCATTTATTTACCTTGACAACATTAAGGGGATAAGTCACAACTGTAGCTCCAAGCTTGGCGACAGCCCCAAGAAGAAAAATCTAATAATAGCGTAATACACTATCACTCCACATGAAACTAACAATTGTGAAGATAATGAAGTAGCGCATCAAAACTTCCGGTTACAAACGAAAGGAGCATAAAAGAAATCTCATAATCATATAGAAGATAAGCATAATTCTTTTCAAATCAACAAATTTAATCAAACACCGTCCATTAGTACATGCTATTATCCTATCCATGAGTGAAGTAGAAGATAATGATATCTACCTCAAAAGCTGCCAATCCTTCAGCACCTTTCGCGGTTGAGCCACGTTTTTTCTTCATCTTCTTCAACATTGCTTCATACAACATGAACTGAATAGACGGATTACTGACCTGAAGCCATGGATGCTGAAATTATTGTTATCTAATAAAACAGGTAAGAACTTGCATGTGAGACGATATAATACTTCAATACGAGGAAAAGAAGAAGTAAAGCACCATCAAGGAGTAAAAACAAGGAAGAATGAAAGAAGAAGAAGCTAAAAACGCTTCAACAAAGAAGTCATCAATAGGTTTCATAAGGTTAATCTCCGCTAATTTATTTACAACTTTCAATTAAATCTCCCCTTAGTACACGAAACTTTTTTGTTTCCCGCGTCATATCCCCCTCACTTATCCCTATGTCCATTCACACACAATTGAATAAACCTATCAAAGTTCCTAATTGCAGAAGCCCACCACCTTAAACCCTACAATATAAAATCCATATGGTTTCCACATTTCAAGTATTAATCAAACGTTATAGCTTTGATTATTATATTCATTACTGTCACCATGATACACCCCATTAACATCTAGGGTTAGATATGAAAATTCATCAGTAATCACCCTCCTCTCCAATCCTAAATCATTTTTGGCATTAGCTTTTTGGGCCAGTAGGGTTTAAGGTTTTTAAAAAATGGTTTAAACAAGAGTAGCCCTTTTGGGCCCATTGTGGCCATTTAACCTACTACTGCAGAAAGGAAAACCCTCGTGATTAACAAGGGAGGTTTAGAAGGTAAAATAAATAAACTATGGAATCTTACATCCAAAGTGCTCTCATTGAACTTTACAGAGAACAATACACCTCTAAAACAAAGGAGTGTTGGTGCTACAAGCTATAATCCACATAGCAAAAGAGAAATGTTCCCAAATGACGAAGATAGCACCTTAGAAGTATCATCTAATGATAAGAACAGAGAAGAAAATAATCTCCATTACGTTCAACCATCAACTTACATTTAAAGTGGATGTGAAGTTGGATATTCCCATATGTAATAATACAATTGCTGCGGAGAAGGTGGATAAACGACTTGATTTTCTTAAAATAAGATTTTCAATTTATAGCTAAAATCATTCATAAAGAGTAAGTATATTTTGTTCGACTTAAAATGTCCTCACATGCATCATGCATGTGCACTCATGAAATAGAATATTGAATCCAAGCACAATGATTTATTAAGATAGATTAATTCAGTCTCGATTTTATCCATTAACCATGAGGAGGAGAAGGGAGTCTCATGACAACAACTGAGATAAAAGTACAAACAATTTGTTCAGGAAAGTAACTATAAAGTTTTGTAAGCAATAGATTTGCCTTATGAACCTCCTTAGAGGAAGATTCTGAAGTACATGTCAAGGATTAAATCAAAAAAGAAACGAGGCCTAGGGTTACTAAGCAATATATTGTGAAATTTGTGATTGTTGGGCTATATGTTGATGTTGCACCTATGATCACCGGGCTACATGTCAATACCGTACCTATGATCACTGTATGTATAGCACGCAGATCACTGTATGTATAGCATGCAATGCCAGAGAATCCCTAGTTATTGGAAACAGATGTGTATCAAAGGAGGGAACTACAGTTTATCCAGGTAAAAGGAAGAAATTTGAAGAGTGCAAATCAATTGTACAAAGACCTAAGGTAGCACAGTACGCACAGAGAATGGAGACCATCTAGCAAAGCTACAAAACCCTCTTACTACCTTCATTCAAAAGTAAACATTATTCTAACAGCTTCAAAGAAGAAGTAGGGTGAAAAAAAGAGATTTAAAGAAGCCAGCAGAAAAAGCATCAAAAGCAACTCAAGCAAGAATATAAGAAAAATGCCTCTTTCAGCCCATAAAAACTAGCACCATGCTAATATCTAAAAATTTACAGATGTAAAATCTCATATGCTCCAACATCAACTAATCAAGCACAAATCCAAGTCCTAAGTTAAGTTTAGCCAGACCCAAAGTCAAACCTAAAGACAGACTCAAGATCAAATCCAAAGTTTGAACGTGGGCATGGTTCAAACAAGGGTGGATAATTTGTTGCATTAATTAAGAAAACGTGATGCAATTTATTTAAAATCTCCGAAATTCTCTCCCCATTTATAAGGTTGACCAAGCAAATAGGAGACAGGAGAAGAAGCATTCTTAGGTGATTTAACCAAACAAGGAAGAGTGGCAATCTAGATAAAAAAACTTGCTCATTTGATAATTTACTATACATGCAAAATAAGAAGGGGTTATCTCTCACCTTTTAATTCCTAGGCATGGATATCTAACTAATTTTTATTTCATAATGCTTAACTTGTACTACGATTTTTTTTCCTTCAATCCAATTCAATCATTTGCAGAAATTATTAATCCAAAAAGTTCTACTCCAAATTATTTTCTCTATCCCTTCTAATAGCCACCCAAAACTCTGAGTCAGCCACCATCCTTCTATCTACCCTAGCCAGCCTCACACAACACCCCCCTACCCAAAAAACAGAGGATAGATATTTAGAAGCAATACAAGATGAAACAAGGAATAAACATCTTAGAAAGGATAAGTAGAAAAGAATCAAAAAGTAAAAAATCAAAGAAGAATTAGTGGAGAAGTAGATTAAAGAAGCTTCGATGAAGGAGTTATCAAGAGGTTTAGTAAGGCCATCTCCTTTAATTTACTACTTCAGTGAAATCTCTCCTTAGTGCACATCCCACTTCTGTTTGCTGCATCATCTCAGTCTCTTACCCCTTTGGCCATTCACATACATTAAGGTGAATTTAATTAGGGTAGCCATCTTGGTTATGCATTTTAGTTATTAATCAAGGCTAACCTAATAACCTGGTTATTAATTTTAGAGGTGTTTCAAATATTAAAAAAAAAAATTGGTGTTTCAAATATAAAGGCTAAATGTATAGTCTTGGTCCTTGAAACATGTCCCCGTCATCATTTAGGATTGAAAAAGGAAGGTTCACTAGTGATCATGCTCCTCAACCTTGGATCAACAAAAAGCTCCACCTCACTTGTGTCAACCCATTTACATGTCCATGTGATCAAGGTTGACAGATCCTAATTAAATGAGCTAGGTCATGGGCCAAGCAAAGTGTCAGTAATGGATCTTGTGATAATCTAGTCCCTGATATGTGACTAATAGGGTGGAAGTAATATGAACAAATCTCAAATATCTTGTACAAACACACCATCTCTACAAAAAAGTGTGAGCATGCTATGAGCAGTTACATGATAGCTAAAAGAATGCAAACATTGTGTACATGATGTAACAGCTCACAACAAAGCTAGGGCAAGTCACTCCTTATGTTCAAGTGGAGGGTCAAGGATCATGGAAAGGGTGTTTTTTATTCTCAACTTTAAACTTACTTCTCTCTATGAGAGATATAGGAAGGAGGCTCAACATATAAACCTTCTACGACGAATGTCTCACACCTTAAATCACCAGTAGTTTTCTCTACTCAATGAAACAATAATTATTTGTCCGGAGAAGATTCACATGAGTGATTTATTCAACTAAATTTGACTTCTACAACTTCCTCAATTCCTCCACATAGGAACTTTCTATGTCAAAGGTCTCACACCCTAGAGCCCCAATTGATTTTCAACTCAATAAAGTTGTAATTGTTTGTCCGGACTAGATTCACATTTGTCATCTATAGATTAAATGTGACTTTTAAAACTTCCTCAATTCCCCTCTTTCTATAGGAGCCAAAAGAAGAAGCCGAGAAGGGGAAGGAGGAGCACATGAAAGATATTATAGACTTTTAGTAGTTACAAGTGCCAACCATAGCCTTCTAACTTCAAAAAGGATTGTGCATTATTTGGTTATAACTGAAAAATCGAACCAAACTAATTTATTTCAAATGATTTGCTTATGTTTTTAAATTAGTGGTTTGAATATTGATATAAATAATTGAAACGTTTGATTTTTATTATTGATTTTAAATTCAAATTTTTTTGTAAAATTTAAACCAAATTATTAAAACAATAAAACAAAATTCCTCTAACGATCTAGCCTAATGCAAATAAGAGTCACTCACGAAATAAACCAAAAACACATGCCATGTGCAACAGTGCAGGTGTGAATCGTGTGATGTAGACATCTTCCTCTTAGGCAAAATTGATTTCGAAGAAGCGTCACAATTGAATCAATGTCTTTGAGAGTCTAGGAAAGATTCGAACAAGTGGCATGTGTGCGGATATGGGAAGTCACATCAACATCAAGATAGGGCATCAAGGATACAGGCAGGATTTGCAATCTAAAGCTCTAGGAAACCTAGATGCAACCCTATTGTAAGAACCCTAAACTTTCTTTGGTTCTCCTTAGCTCCTTCATTCCTTCCTATCTCTTGTGTAATCGCACATTTGCAATTTCATGCCTATTCCTCCCTTTTATAATGTCTTGCACCATCCTAGTCAAAGTTTGCTCAAAATTGAAGAAATGCTTCCAGTTTTAATCATACGTCCGACGGTCCAAGCTTGCAATTATGTTGTTCATGCTAGTTGAGGTTCCCCTTCAACTTTCTTCCAAATTTATATAGGATAGATTTTTTTGAAGAAGTTTCTTACAATATTTAAGGTAGGTAATTATATGAGTTTAACTATGCTTTTATAATAATATGATTTTAATTATGTTTCTATAATGAAGAAAATTCAAAAACTAATTTCTTTTGGTAATTGTATCATTTCAATTATGCTTATTGGTTATGACTTATGCAATACAAACAATCCATAGCAATCAAATTTGGTTTACCCAAAACCAAACTGAAATAACTAAACCAAGTAGTTGTTTTAATTGGCTCATTTATGCATTCTGTTTAGTTGGTTGGATTGGTTTTTGGGACATCTAAAACCAATTAGTTTTGCTAATGTCATCCAAACCATAAAAACCAACTGAATGCACACCTCTAACTTTAAACAAGAACTTTTCAGATGAGATTATCATATGAGACCACTAAACTAAATTATTACATTCTGTAACTAACCAAAAAATAAATATTAACTTCAACTTCCTCTATGAAAAAAGCTTTCCTAGGTCTAATAGGCAGCTTTGTAGATTTTGAAAATTTTGGCTGCAGGTTAGTGATATTCAAGCCTCATTATTGGGTTAAAAATCTTCAAAATAAAAACTTTACTATATACTAACCATTATTAATGTTGGTAGTACTCCTTTCCAGAAGCCTAATAAACCTGCTTCACTAAATAGTTCTTGAACCTGTCAATACGTAAATTAAAAATTAATTAGCTGATGTTAAAAACAAACAAAAATTAAAGAGGGTTACATTTGTCAACCAGTGCATTAAGGAATGTAAGGTCAAGCAGCTATGCAGATTTACAAGATGGACCTACCGTGCAAAACAGTTGAATTGTTAATTTCACGTAAAAGATTGATGACCAAGCTTAGTAATACCTCGAAAGGATGTTATTCTAAGGGAAAGGATCTTATTCTAAGGAAAAATCTCTGCAACGTAAGTTCAAATATAGGAGAATAGATCACCACAGAAACGTAGCTGAAACATTGCGCTTCAAATTTGTAAAACTGTGCATTTCTTGGAAACAATCTAGTGAAGTACAGGAACAAAAATACGTACAGCATCAATAGTCCCATAAGGCGGAGGTTCAACAACAACATCTTCAAGCACATCATCAGGAGCATTTGCTAAAACAAGATTTTCTGAGGATATGCTGGCTTTCTTGTGAGTCTGAAAAATAATAGAATCATGAAGCACAAAAAACCATACAGATGCGGCTCAAAAGCAAACTGCTCTCCGGAAAATTTCCAATGCTTAGAGTAACGGAGCAAGGATTCAATATGATAAAAATTAAAAATATATATGGAAGCCTTTGTGTCAAATTTAATAGGCTCGATACCTGCATGCGTGTGACTATTACCCATATAGGATTTGTCATCAGCACATTTACTGATCTGCATCAAAGCTTAGAAGCTAGCATCAATCATGAATATGCAGTAAAATTCTAATGCCTGGAAAATGAAAATAAAAAAAAAGTATATAGGCTAATGGATTTGTCATCTTAGATGGTTTGGTCACATAATATGTCGGCCTGATGACCCAGTTAGGAGAGTAATGTATTAGATTTGACCTATGTTAAAAAAGGTAGAGGTAGAACTAAAATAATTTGATTAGAAAACATTAGAAATAACTTTTTCATTAAATTTAAATGAGAATTTGCCTCATAACAAGATGCAAGATGCAATGGAGAAAAAAGATTCATGTAGCTGACCCCACGTAGTGGGATAAAAACTTGTTGTTGTTGTTGTAGACTAATGAAAATAATAGTTACATAAAAAAACTCAAGTTAATATTAATCACCCAGCAAATGCAGCAACTACAAGTGATTGGAGCATTCCAATAGATCCATCTCCAACACCTTTCATTTGTCGAGCAAGGGAAGTAGCTTCTGCCTTGTCCCTAAATAGTTGATAAAAATAGTAATACACGCCCTGTAAAAAGAGAGTGTTCAATAATGAGGAGAAAAATCTTAAAGTATTTTGAAGTTTCACTCAATCTTAGCTAATCTAATTTTATTGCAAACTACATAAGCAAATGTATACTATTGATCTCTTCTGGAAATGGGAAGAAGGAACAACTGATTATGATTGTTGAACTGGAAATTTTATGGATTTTCTACTACTCAGATAACATATAGGATTCAGCTTTTGTTATTGCCATACTAGAGAGAGAGAAAAAGAGAAAGGTAAAAGGAATTTCAAATACTTCAAAATTTTACTCTATATTTCATTTACTTCAAACCAAACCCAAACATTTTCAAAGCATTTACATTTGGGATACTTTACACCCCTTTTACTTCAAACTAAACGGCCCAATAGTGTTTAGAGGTAATAGGTAACAAGCTTGAATTTATTAAGTAAAAGGTAGTAGATATTATAATATAAATATCAGGCAAATTATAATAGACAATAAATTTATCGGAGTTAAGTAGAGAGTAGTATGTATAAGCTCAAACAATATCTTTAAAAAAATAATGAATTTTTTATAAGATGAAATGGGGAAATATAATCCCCCATCAAGATTGAATGGAGTTTAACTATGGCAAAAGATTTTTGGGATACCCAAAATTATTAAGTTGACTATATTAGCATAATCTAAACTTCAAAATTATGATATCTATCATAAGTGGATAAAGCACGATATTTTTTGAAACACGCCCTAGTTGAGAATGAATTTAATCCGACATAATTTACATGTGACTTATATCAAGAGAAACTTAACAATAATTTTAATATTGTGGTGGATAGCAAAAGTTAAATCAAGGACAATTTAAAAGCCATGATGCATCAAAGTAAATATTGAAGATGAAGAGATTTAGAGGTCCAAGAATTAGGCAAAAGATCTTGAAGCCTACTAAAGGAAAATATACACACATATTAGAACAAAGAAGAGCAATATATAAATGAGTTCAATCCTTGAAAACAAATAAATAAAATTTTAGAGATAATGTGCCATGATATTCATATTCATGGAGTGCTTGCTTCCAACTACAATTATTGTCTTATCATGAGCAATTGGAAATCCATTAATTGAATTAAGTAATTTTTTTCAAGAATCTATGCACCATATGTTTGAAGGAAGATCACATAACATATAGTAAATTGAATATTCCAACTATATTATGCAAATTAGAAAGGATATGTTCAGCTGATTTTTTTCTTCAAATGAACACTTACCGATGTACATGCACTATAAGGTTAGAGTTGGACCACTCCAATATCATTGGATTTATCCATTTGAGAGATATACACAAAAAGATATCATCTTATTCTTCAATATGCATTATATGTATGTATCTACTATGTTTAAATATGATTCCAGATTTCTTATTAAAAAGAAATACAACCATTAAATATTTTTATTTAGGCATTCATAAGATTTGTTGGATCAACATTTCCTCCTAACCACTTTTCTAAATAATGAAATTTTCCTTGACCTGTCAAGCATATAAATTGGACTCTCAAATTAATTATTTTACTGAATTATGTCCATTTCATCTGAGGAGTTCTTTGTACTAAGAGGTCTGATCAAAAAGACCAAAAACCTAAGGCAGCAAGAGGGTTCATGCAATCTTCTTCTCGCAATTTTGTATAATTAGATTTTGAAATGCTTATTAGCTAATTTAGCATCAAATGGATCTTTCGTACTCAGGGAGAAAGTCAACATCTTTTTTGAAACTTATATATAAGATTCAATATGCTCAGAATTGACATATGCACAATTCATTCACCCTATGCGCCTTTTGGATTTAGTGGTAGACTAGTAGAGCCTCCTTTAAAGCCCAGAAGAAAGTTGTAAGGACACGAACACAAAAACAGCATATGATAATAGATCATTGAGCATTATATCAACCTTAAAGACTCTCAATTTAAGGGCTAACATTTCAATACATTCATTTCAAGCTTATGCCTTAAGCAATCCAAATACTACAAGCACTTAAATTCCCAAAACAAGGGTATACTTGGTTTATAACTTCAATAATCCCTAATGGAACACCAATGCAAGAAAATTTGAAGAATATCCCTCATTCTTTGACATGCACCTTAGTCATGTGCAGTACTTATTCCATAAGCATGCTTCCATGATTTAAGATGCAATTTTAGTCCTTGTTTTAGTTAATTATCAATGATTGAAAAAATTATAAAAGCATGTACTATTGTGGCATTAATTGGCAATTGAGCATGGATGGAACCATCAAAAGAAAAACTAAAGATATTCACATAGATTTTTCCCCTGCTCCATGCCTAGACCAAGTAGCAACTCATATTTATGGCATGGCATTCAAGGAGCAATATGCTGAAATAAAGCAATTCAAAAACATTTTCTTCTCTCAACAACAGTTTAGTAAGTGGCAAGTTAAGGCAACTCCATGGTTTTCTTTTTCACCGACAAAGTAAATATCTGTGAAGCTGTTTGGTCGGATTCAAGTGAGTGTGGGTTTGAAGTAAACAAAACATACGTAAGTTTCTTTGTTTTTTGTTTTTTTTTTAAAGCTGTGAAGTTGATAATGATAAATTTAATTTATAACAAGGCCCACTTTAGGCAATCCACTTCACTCGTTGGAGCAAGAAAAAGCCGTCAATCGCCATTATTTACTTACCATGAATCATTTTACATTTAGAAATGTATGCGACCAATCAAACAATCCCTAAAAATAATCCTCTTTGAAACAAAAGAATAATTATCGCAAGTTGGCTTGACATGTACTTCCCCAGTTTTAAGTTCAAGAATACAGAGTTGCTCACCGTAGCAGTCTAAAATGCTCTATCTTTCAAAATCGATATAAATTACGTTCTCAACAATACAAACGGAGCAATGCGACATGACATAATCAAAACTGTCCTGTTGCAGGGCCCCATGCTTTCATGGAAGTTAACAGAGCCGAAGTTAACGGATTAACAGAGCATGGTAAAGACGTCATCGAACAGCAAAGGAGGCAAACGAGAAATGGACGCAGAGCGCGCCAAAAACGCAAGTTAGCCAAAGAGAGAAGATTCAGCTAGGGCAGAGTCCTCTCACCTGGGACGCCGCTGTGCCGACCAGCGACGGCGTCAACCCTCCATAGAGCCGCCTCCATCCCTCCTGTTTCACCACCTGCAAAGATCATTTCAAAAATCGAAACCATTACCGCGGGCAATTAGATCACCAACAATAATTAGTAATAACATAATAAAAAAGACATCAAACTGTTTGAGACGTGGAGAAGAGGGAAAAGAGAAGGAAACCACCTTACCTGGCACATCTGCTTGATAGTTCCATCTCCAGCATTGGACTTGGACGGATCGCGCTCCGTCTGCTGACGAGTATTGACCTGAGATGATGATGAATAGATTCCTAGTTCAGGAGAAACACAATAGGGAAAAAGATGAAAGAGTTGGAATTGGGGTTTTCGAGTAAGAATGATATTACAGTCTGCAAGGGGTAAGTGATGAGCTGAGCGATGATTCCGCCGCCGGCACCCGCAACGCCGTTGATGACGGCGTCTGACATCGCGTCCTCCGCTGCCGAGAAACGGAGGCGGCGTGAAGAGCTCGGATCACAGTGAGAGAAACGACGTGATGTTCGTCGCACAGTACGGCAAAGAGACTTCGTCGCGGACACGAGGTAGCGGGTGGAAAGCAGTTCGATTGGATGGCGACGTGAATTACGCTTCGGGAGAAAGAAACGTCTAAAAAATGTTTGCTGTCCATAACAGTATGACTATAAGTTGAGTTTAATGGTTTCATATCAAGTTTAGAAAATAAATATATATTTTAAAAGAATGTAATTTTATTTATAATTTAAGTTGATATTTTTAATTTATTTATTTTTTATTTTATTATAATATACAGAAGAATGATTACTATATTAATTCAAAATAATTAATTTGGTAAATTAATATGTGATTTTAATAAAATATCAAATTAAGAAATAATATTTAAATGATATTTTTAATTGCCTTTATGAACAACTGTATTATAAATTAAATTTTTAAATTGAAGTTTTCTAATTCAATATCATATCAATAATCAAAATTAAATCTTATTTTAATATCAAAATTATTATTTTAATATTAAAATATATTTAGATAGTTTATTAGTTATAAAAGAAAAGACTCTACAAAATGATTATTTATATTAAAAAATATAATAAGCTATACTTAAAGAAAAATCTTGATGTGTCCAATTTATGAGAGAAAAATTTTTTTTTAAGTATAATGTTGTGCTACCCACTAAGAGAATAAAAAAAATTATTAATGAGTTAACAATGAAAGCCTACCAATAATATGCCATTTTAAGATCCCACTCTCTCCCTTTCTATATATATCTCTCTTTTAAGGCAAGCACAATAATTCTTTTAGGCCTTTAAGTTGGGCAATATATAATCTTTTCTTTTTTAAGAATAGTTATATGGTTGTAGATGTCACACATATTTAATCATTACATTTAATCTCCTTTTAATCATCTTCACCATGATGTGACATTTTTCTTTCTTGATATTATGAATGTGACAACTTAATAATGCGCAATGCATTACTAGTCATAATATTAATTATATGTCCTTCATGTTAGACATCAATTCATATTTATCACTATCGTTCATTATTTGACGTCTGCCTAGAATTCTCTAGTTATGCCTGGAGTATTTTTGGTGTCTAATTTGTCACCAAAGTTTTAGCAGCTGCTCCTAGGTTTAAGTCATAGGATGTACGATTTAAATAAAATTTCATTACTAATTAATTAATTTGGAATTCTCAAATTGTGCCTATATTTGGACCTTAAGGCTTGGCTTAAAAGTGTCTTTAAGGCCACCTTTAACTGACCTGTATTTTTTTGGTTGTATCTAGGTGGAAAGCATATGTTTTGGTTAGAAATCTCCTTTAAATTTTACTTTATTTTGCAAACTTTCTTGATTATGCTTAAGATGAAATATGAAGACGTATATGCTTAAAAATACACCTAAGGCAAGCTTTTTTTTTTTTTCATTTGGCTTTTTTGGATGTACCTAAAGTGATGCCCTAAGATTTGTGGCTATGATTAGGATTAGTTAACTTAAACTTCTAAGAGTAACCATAGTCCTGAAATTTGATGTACGTAAATAAGGTATTGAAGGCCCTACTCAAAGTAACCCTAATCCTACCAATGAATTTGAGCTAAAGTAATGAACCCAACATGTATGACTTTGCACTAGCATAACATTAGATGATGAAAAGAGCTAGTGTCTTTAATTACATGGCAACGAAGAGGTCCCCTGGAATCATAGATGGTGACCACTTAAGAAATTTGATTGGACTGCATAGTCATTCATTTTAGAGAAGTAAGGGAAGCTATGTCGTTCGAACCTGAATGAATGGAATGTTAACTAAAGGTAAAGAGATACTCGCCCTCTAGGGCGAGGTAAAAAGGCAAGGCATCCACCATAAGGGGATTCCCCATTGTGAGTCAAATTTAAGCAATGAAATCTTTGGACTTAGACAATCAAATGGACTTAGAAAATAATTTTATAAATCATTTAAGATAACCTCGCCCATGCAATCTTCTAACATGCACTCTAGGGCTTCATTGTCACTATGTGTAAACAAACACATATATATATAAATTACGTACAACATTGGGATATTATAATAGAGCTTAAAAATATTCTAATAAAATGATGTATAATAAATTTACATTCCCCAAATGGTTCTAAAGCAAGTGTATATAGATTTAATGGTGTTATTTACTAGTACTCCATAATGTAGATGCTGAGAAGGTCTAGATTAAAGTTAAATGGTATATGTAGGCACTAACTATAATCTATAGATGTAGGTGATGGCTGGTGGACATCATCATGATGGTTGGGAAGATATCAATAAGTCAACTAGAATGTCATCATCTTATAGTTAGTTGGTAATGTCGTATTATGGGTGAAGACATGTTGTCCTCATGTGGTTCACATAGATATTGTCCCAAAGTCAATAGACACATCTTGTAGTAGATGATGACTACTTGGAAGAGACTTTGACAATGTACGATGAGTAGGGATAATTTTTATTATTTTTAAAAAGGATATTCTCACTATTTATTTTATTAAAATGCACTATATTATGAGTAATTACTAGTTTTAATTAACACGGGGGATCACAAGTTTAATAAATATTATATTTTGATGTGACAAATTAGATAAGATGAGTTTACAAAGAACGCAAAACTCCAAAATGGCGCGGTGATGCTCCAATCGAACGCCATTTTAGGTGTTTTTGAGAAGGTAACGATCGCCCTCCTTTCACGCGTTTTTCCGGTTGAGAGCAAAAAATGGCGTGAGTGAACAGTGCGACGCCAATATTGACGTCGCACTGTTCATCCGCGATCAAATGACGTAAAAAATGGCCATCGGTTAGAGTAAAACAAGAACGGCAAACAAGTGTTTGCCGTTCGGTTGGAGATGCCCTCATGTGGTTCACATAGATTTTGTCCCAAAGTCAATAGACTCATCTTGTGACACATCTTGTAGTAGATGGTGACTACTCGGAAAAAACTTTGACAATGTACGATGAGTATGGATAATTTTTATTATTTCTAAAAAGGATATTCTCACTATTTATTCTATTAAAATGCACTATATTATGAGTAATTACTAGTTTTAATTAACACGGGGGATCACATGTTTAATAAATATTATATTTTGATGTGACAAATTAGATATGATGAGTTTACAAAGAAGACATAATAATAAAAAAGATATAACAAAAATGAAATTCTTACATTGGAAACTAGGGGAGTCGATATTGGACACGACACGAAAATTTGACTCCAACCCGACACGAAAATTTTGAGTCTGGGGTCAACCCGAACCCGAACGGTTCGGGTCAACCCAAACTCGAACGGGTCGAGTTTGGGTTCGAGTTTTTGACCCGTTTAAAAAATTGGGTCGTGTTCTGGTTGACTTGGAAATCCAAAATCAACCTGTTTTGACCTGGTAAGGCATGTGATCGCGTCAGTCTTCAGCCATCCACGTCAGTGAGTCGTGTATGCACCTAGTCACTATGCATTCACGTTAGGCCGTCTGCATCAAGTTGCCAGCATGGCCCACGCGTCATCCAGGCCATAGCGTCAGGCTATATGCGGCGATGCACTCGCGTTCGTTGCCGCAGTACGGAACCGACCCCTCTGCCTCCGGCAGACCGCAAATAGCAGTCGGAGTCCGAGGTCGCATTCCCTGCCGGCTTGTTGTTTCCATCGCTAACACTGCCTCACCTCTCTATCTCGCGTCCAACACTCCAAACCTTCTGGCTCCGACAGACCATGAATCGCACTGCAAAACCACGTCCAACCCTTTGGCAGATTGCAAACCGTCCCACGATCCATTGACAGTGTCAGGTCGGGTTGACCCGAACCCGAAGCGGGTTAAGTTCGGGTCCCAAAAATCGACCCGTTTGTAAAAACGGGTCGGGTTCGGGTTGACCCGAACAGTGCTAAGCCAGTTTCGAGTTCGACCTTAACCCGACGCGTGACCCAAAATTGACACCCTATTGAAAACTAGACTAATTGTTAATGCATCAAATTATAATGAAGATTGCTTCCACAATCAATCATTCTTCATAGTTGCAATGTTCCTTTCTTAAAAGTTTGTCCAATGGTCATGTCACTTACAATCAAGAAATCATTTATTTAGGTGGATGAAAATATAATAAGAATAAAAGACTAGCAAAAAAAACTTCTTTCAATAATTAAGTGATTAATGTTAGGAGAGACTCCATATTTATATGAATAAAATAGAGAGATCAAAATACACAAATATATCTCCAAATATAAACCTAGCACTATTATTTTCATACATATCATTACCATTGTGCTTACCTTCCTTATCAAATATACCAATCATTATCATTCTAAAAATTTGAAATTTCTTCATGGGCTTTGATTTAAAAAATAACAGATCGAAATCTTATCGGCCCACATCCTCAAAATACATCCTACATCATCTTTTCTATCTTTAAAGAATTTGACAAGCCCCCAAGTACAAAAGGGAGATGTTAAGAAAAAAGTCATAGCCCACTAAGTAATTCATAATCCATATGAAAGAATAGATCTCCCAATCAAAAAAAAAATAATTTATGGGACCTACCTTAACTTAGTGAGCCCAGTTTTTATGGAGATTCTCATTCTTACATTGTGATTCATGATTATTAATAGGCATTACATGGAATTTGTGTGTTTTTAATCAATTATAGGGATAAAGATGAGATGATTTTGCTCATTTAGATGTCAAATCAAGTTTGATTGAGTATATATTTGGGTTTTATATGTAATATACTTATATTTAGTGGATCTCATTTTGATAATAGCATAAATATGCTCACTTCTTCTTTGATATTAAATTATCTTCTCATAGTAATCCACTTAGCACTTAGGATTATTCTCCAAGTAAGAGGTTGTGATGAATGGCAAAATCTAAAATTATCCTATCGAGAAAGAGATCGAGATGAATAGCTAGCAAATATTGAATTATACTCTTGCATAAGAGATTGTGATGAATTGTTAAAATATATACTAATAAATCTTGAATCATAAAAAGGACTTGGCATATTCCTATCTGATTTGGTACATGTTTCATCTCTATATAAATAACCACTATAATACACCATTAGGGTGAAAAATGTGATAAGAAATAAAATTTCAAAATTTAGATTACTAGTAAGTTTTAAATGAGGGCTATTATATTTGAGCCATTTTGAGGGTCAATATGGTTGAAATTGGAAAAACTTTCCTCTAGAAAGTTGTAGATCTCATCTAACTTATAAAAATAAAATACTTACATAGAAAATGTCGGTTAAAAATGGCAGAGTCTTGGCCAATATAATTAGAGCAATTCTAAACATTTTATTGGACAGTTCATGTTGATTCTCTTGACCAAATAATATTTTATAGGCATTTAAATGATTTAATGATATATAATTGGGCAATATTGTGCTCGTTGAATCTATCTCTTCATGATATGTTGTAACCATGTAAGATTCAAAGATCATCTAATTAATTTTTAAGTGCTTGCTAAATGATTATTTGGACTCTGATCAAGATAATTTTGATGCCAGTATATTCGTCTCATTAAAATGTTATTTCAACTATAAGTTTAGTGACAATAAAGGCCAATGATCCTAAATTAGACCCATTTTTTTTTTTAATTCAAACACCTGCATCGTGAATCATGCTTGATTGGATAAATTTTTTGGTAACATATTTATATCAACTATTGAGTTTATGGTTGTCATTGCTTCATCCATCACATGTTTTTTCATGAATGATTCATTTGAATACAATTAGATCAAGATAACTCAGACGATAAGTATTTTACTAGTTTTTGAGAACTTAACTTTTCGTTGCTACAAAGTGTTTCCCTTCAACCTCATGTATGTTAGAATCACTAACAAGCATGCCATGACTTACATATTTGATGTTCTCATTCAATAATATATTTTTTTTCTTTTTTTTTTAATTTTTTTGTTTTTATTTTTTTATTTTAATTTTACATTCAACAATATGTTGAGTACTATATAATGATTAGTCGTCAATAATAGGATTCGAGATGACAATTATTTGAATTTGTAGATAAACTCTGAATATTTGACAAAAACATTAGAGGAATGTATCTTTGAGGGTTTTGCATGAATCAAATGATCACACGCAAAACTTTATGTATAATTTTTGTCCTGAAAAATGATCTCGAAATGACAATTAAAACTTGGTTGAAAGTAGCTTTAAGAGAAACAAAAAATATAAGCTGAAAACCCAAATAAAAACACTTTCAGATTTTGTTTAACATACAATTTAAGTAAGATTTAATAGAAAAGTTAAGATAATCCAATTAAGCATTTTTAAAGCTTCAAAAACCTTGTTTGCTACAATCCTCTTATTATTTTCTAAAGCAACTCTTTAGTACAAAAATATTTATACTAGAAAGTTGATTTAAAAAACAATTAAAAAAATATTCCAAATAAAACTTAAATTTATTATTTAACACATTTAAGATATTTGGAGCTATAGTGTTTTATTTATCATCAATAATTTTTAAAATTTTAATCGTGAAAAATAAAATTTAAAATTTTTATAATATTCACAAAAATCTTCTTTATATTCAAAGCCCTCACGGTATAAATTCAACCAAACGAGCTCCTTGGTGGCGACGCAACGACTGCTTTTTTCCTTTCCCCGTTTATCCAATTTCATATATCTATTAGTTCTGCAATCTCCTTCCTCCGCGACCCGAAACCTAGACGCACTTACGACCGGAATCAGCTTCCATGGCTTCTACCCGTCCCACCTCACCGGCAACGAGGCCTCTTGAAATCGAGATCACCGTCGTCTCGGCAAAGCACCTGAAGAACGTTAATTGGCGCCACGGTGATCTTAAACCCTATGCTGTCGCCTACATCGACCCTGAGCGTCGATCTGCCACCAAGTCCGATGACGCTGGATCCACGCGTCCCGTATGGAACGAGCGCCTTGTTCTCCCACTTCCCTCTCCCCTCCACCATGACTCGCCTCTCATCCTAACCTTAGACATTTTTCACTCCAAGCCCTCGGAAACTCCCAAACCCCTCGTCGGAACAGCGAGGTCACCGCTGAACGACCTTATGGATCTTGAAGATCCTTCTGGAACCCCTACTCCGATTCTCACGCTCGGACTTCAGCGCCCTTCCGGCCGAATCCAAGGCAAAATCCGCATCAAGCTGGCCATTCGTGAGCGACCCTACGCGCCGGAGCCTAATTATTCAATGCCTCCTCCTAATATTGGTTACTATTACTCTGCCCCTCCTCCACCCCATCGTGACTACCGCTCCTTTACTTCTCCTTCTCCATACAACCACCCTATCCCGCCGCCTCCCTCCCAGTATCCTTATAATAACTACTCCGATCCGTACTCTGGGTACTACTCGTCTGCTTCGGGGTACTACTCTGCCCCTCCTGCTCCGGCGGCAGCTGCTCCGCCGGCTAGGCCGCCTTACTACGATAGGGCATCTGGCTATGGGCTAGGTCCTTCCGCTCCACTGGACTACTCGTCCGCGACACCTTATGAACAGAAGCAGAAGGGGCCCAACATGGGATTTGGGGCTGGATTAGCAGTTGGTGCTGTGGCGGGGTCGTTGGCTGGACTGGCGCTGGAAGAAGGGCTGAAGCATGAGGAAGGAAAGATTGCAGAAAGGGTCGAGGGTGATCTGGCTACGAGGGAGGATTACAATGATTATCGTGCTGACTATTGAGAATATGCCTGCTCTTTTTCACGATGTTAAAGATGGTTGAAGTTCGTAGGTTAAGGAGGTAAGGATGAATAAAATTGTTCGAGTTCGCATGAAAATGTTCAAATCCAAGTCTAATATGTAAATAGCCCTATGTTGCCGACTTGATTTTTATGCTATTGTTGTATGGATCTTGCATTGCGTTCTCTTGTTGTGCAAAATTTTATATATCTAAGATGGTGGTTTGTCTTAGTAATATATGCATTCTCTTGGGAAGTTCTCTTGGATTCTGTGTTTTGATACGTGTATGCCGCTTGATCTATTTAAGATTTTGTGCAACTTATGCCATTCTCTTTTAATTGTTATTCTTTATTAGAATAACAATGCCCGCCAATTCATATGGCCAGTTGAAAGTTGAAATAAGCTGCTGTTTAAGAAATGTATTAAAAATTTAGCATGATGCCAAAAAGGACTAGATTGCTACGTTGCTTGGCTTTTGTTGAGCTTGATAAGATGCATTACATGCAAAAACTAATGAAAGATGTTTTCAACATGCGTTTTTTTTTTAATTGCAATCAGAATCAATTTGCATCAAGTCTATCCACCGCATTACCAATTCATTTGCATTTAGCTTTTTTCCCATTAAGTCTGATAATATGATTTTAATTTGTGAGAACTCATTTCAATGTAGGTCTAATATAGTTAATTCTAACATCATAACATAATTTGGTTTCTTTTCTCATTTCATTGGAAAACGGCTCTAAAGTAATGCCCATCTAGATTTCAATGCCAGAATTTATGACAATAATATTTGAAAGGGAAATCAAATTTGTTTGTTAGTACGATGGCACAAAAGATGCTGGAAGGAGGAATTTCGGAGGAACAACAGTGCATGATTTGAGCATCACCATGATTATGTGTGAAAACTGTGAAGTATCATACTTTAATAGGCTAAGTGACGTGTGCTCATAAAAGAGCAGATAACTGTTGATCTTGAAAATAATAATGGTATGAAAGTGATCATTTTGGAAATGCAAGATGATAGTTGCTTTCCTTCTGTTTTCTCTGTGGCCTTTATCCTACTTATAAATATCATGCTATGATATTGCAATCATCATCTGATAAGTTGCGCATGAATAATCTTATGAGCAAAGAATGTTTTAGACCTCTGATGTAGAACCAAATGCAAGGAGCTTCTCTAGAAAATTAAAAGTGAACTGTCTGAACCGTTGATCGATGACCTCATCAACCTCTGTATCTTTTAATAGCCAATGATTAGTGATATCTTTCCAAGTTATTAACATTTTTGTTAAGTTCTAACTAGACTTGATTATTGGATGAATTGGGCCTACTGGATTTCATTTGTTTTTGGTATGCCCTGGGCTGATTAAAGGCCCACCTAAACTTGTTTAATTGAAGGAACATATTTTACATATATAAACATAATATGTTGAACATATGAATTTTAATGATAAATGATCTATTACTCTCTATTGTTCTCATCTCTAAGCACATATCTGGTCTAATTAGGGCTTGCTTAGGTTCACCCATAGGGATTAACTTGAATGGTCTTGCCCAATAGAACCCGGTTGGTACATAGAGCCCCAACAAATGATTTGGTTGAATTGTGTACATAAAAAAATCTATGCTTTGTAATATTTCTATGTAGAATGCAAAATAAAATTGCATAATTGATTATATTTTCTCTTTATTATTTGATTCTTTTTACCCTCACCACTTTCAATGAAATAGTTTGGTTTTAAAATGGTTTCCTTGACCTCTTGCTTTTGTTATATTGGGAAAATTTTGAGTTGCTGCGAGATAGCTTAGACTTTGTGAACACTATCTCTTGGCATTTATACTTGAATCAATATCTTATCTTTGGAAAGTTGCGGCATTTGTGATGAATCGAAAAACCTCTTAAATGGTTTTGTTTGGGCCTTCATGGAATAATGGTGGTATGTGTGAACTTGTTTCATTTTCTCTTGAATCCTCTCTTATAAGCAAGCATTTGTGCTTAAGTGTTTTTTGTTTTGTTTTAATTATTGATATATTTTTCTCATCTTTATTGTTGTTCTTGATACCCCCCTATGTGTGATTTCCTTTGTCGATCTTAATTCCCTATTATTGTTTTTGGAATGTTTAGATAGGGTATTAGTTTTATTCTGTCTTTTTGTAGAACTTTTGGGTATGCTACCTTTTGTTTATTTCTTTTCTTTAATAAGAATTCTCATATTATTTATGCTTTGTTGGTGCATTTTTTACTTTTCATTGTACATGCTCAAATCACCCATGTCTATCTTCACTATGACAGTATCTTATTCTTAATAAGTTCTACACACCGTCCAATTGATATAACAGTTTCTTACTCATGTCGTTTATTTTATTAGACATCCATTTTAGTATTATAATTTGTTTTACACTTAATTATTGATTAATTTTTTTCCCTAAACACTTGAAATCATACCGAACAAACGTTACAATTGCTAACTTATGAATTTTATTTATTTATTCTCATCTTTATGATATTCTTTTATCATTTAGTATTAAAAAATATTTGTTCCCTTTTAACAATACACATTTTAATTTTGAAGTTATGTGCTCATTTATGTCTACATTCTTTTGTCTAATAAAATTATGATATTTAAACTTATCATACGTAGATATCATTTGACGTTTACCAATATTGTCTGTTAATTCCCAATTTGATATCCACTAGAGTTGCATATTTTGCTCTTAGTTTTTGTTTCACTAACCCTAAATTCCATCTCCAAATAATTTCACAGTTATTCTAATTTTTCATTTATGTTGGAAGTGGGCTCACTTATCTTAATTAAATTAACTACAAATATCATAGTTTGAGGAATCTCATTTTTTATCCTTTTTAGGAACAATTTGCTTATCAAATAAAAAGAAGCTACTATTCACTATTGATTTTTTATGTAATCTTACTATCATTGGAAACTTTTTTGTCCATTCCATAGCTACTTATGCTTGTCATTATACCATTATAAGCATCTTTAGTAAATTCAGTATACTTCTAGCACACATATTTTCTCTTTAATGCTGACCATATTCTTGTGGTGGTACTTAATTATGTCTTTCTAATATTAACGAAAATCATATCAAGATCTATTGACTGATATGTATGGTTTTCATAAATTACCTCAACCATCATAGAAAATCCATATGACATAAAATCAATTTTGTTTAAAGCTACTAGAGCACTTAGTTGGGCATTGCGAAAATGTGAGGCCGCCTGGTTTGCTCGGGAGTGGGTGTCATTGCTATGAAATGCCTTGGAGAGTTGATTGAACATATGAGTGCTAATATTTGAAATGGTGTGGATGATTTAATTTTTGATGGTGATCACTTGACGTGGGATGATGTGAAAATAACATAAAAATTTGGAGAAACAAACATGTACCTTTAGAAATAGGTTGATCAAATGCAGGTGTAAGAATTCATGTTCTATAGTAGTAAGTCTTGAAGATGAGAGAATGGGCTGAAAAAGGCACAAAGAGATGGAATTAGTAATATAGAGGAGAGGATAGATGACAGCAAAGACGCAGTTGATAATAATGAAGGTTAGAAGCTTAAGTTATTTAATTGCAGTTGCTTTAAATAGTTAATTTAGTAGCATTATTTCAATGAAATTTAAAATTCATTATTGTGCACAACATAATTTAATGTGTTACATATTACACTCTTTATAATTAATTCTCATTGTTAAAATAAATTTATAAGTTATATAAAAATTTCTCTTTCAGTGCCTTGCTTTGCTTGAGTGATTGTTTATGGTGGTTCTAGGGGCTTGATGTTTTGGGAAGTCATGTCACCTTGAGTTTGACTTGTGCTTTGAAAACACTATATAATCAGAATTAATGCTTTGTTATTGATGTGATTTTTCTAAACTAGTAGTATGTTACCTTGGCATAAGTTTGTTGTGTGATAAAATAATTAGTTCTTCAATAATTATCATAATATTGATACTCTCTTTTGATCTTAAATATTATTATCAAAATGTTTGTTTTTCTATCATAATCATCCTCTTAATCTTTAAGATTTTATTTAAAAGTATTTTTAAAACAATCATTTACCAATCAATTTAATATATCCCAATACTCCCCTAGTCTAATTATTCATTTCATTTGGTTTAAAACATAAACAAATCAATTCAATATGGCTTAGATCTCTTCAAATCTCAGCAGGCATTACAAACCTTTAAATTGGCTCCTATGGATTCCAACAGAGGACTACTCGTAGATCAATGCACTCATTGCATCAATGGAAGGTGGATCAGGCAAGTATAATCCATGGTTTTTCCTCTAAATGAACATTGGATTTAATAGAGTTTATTTTAATTATGTGGGATTGTGGAATCTCAAAAGAGTAATCTCTTAAGGTTAATTATATCCCAGAAGTATTTGAGAAAACTCTCAATGAAGGAATCTGCTTGTGCTCAATATGGGTAATGAAGCTTTAGATCTTAGTTCTCATTAAATTTGGTGAGTGACTGTAGGGAACCTTTGAGCTTTCTAGACCATAAGCATTAGTTTGGCTAAATAAGGACGACAAGGCCATGTTAGAGGGAGGAGATTCTCTCATTTTGCAAGCACCAGATGATAGATATGGTGTTATTAGAATAACCAAGGTTGTCAGTCATTGAGTTGCAAGAAGTTAGACCTCATAACTAAAAGATAGTTGTGAAGAATTGGGTGCTAAAAATACAATTTAACTGAAAGGTTTAGGAGAGCAGTCTCGATTAAGTCCAATGGTTCAATTGTTTTGTCTCATTAGAGCCCTTATTCACTTTATCGAAGGTGGTATTCGACCTAACTGTGTAAACAAGTAGAGCCAAAATGAGGTACCCTGGCTTGAGCTTGATTGATGAATCAAGTTTTAGCTTAGTTTTATAAGTTATAGTCAACTAAGCCAGCTCATTTGTTATGAAAAAGAGAATGATTTTGATTTAAACAATTATTATAATAAAGAAATCACTTGATATATAGAGGTGTGATATGATTTTAAATATTTTTAATAACTTTATACTTAAAATCTTAAATTATAATATATTCTAAGTTACTTTATATTAATATTTTTTAAACGAGACGGCTCACAACATAATAATTCAAGTCAGGTTGGCTTAAGCTTGACTCTTTTTTTATTGAGCTCACTTCATGAACCATTTATCAAGCTGAGCTCGAGCTGGTTTAGAGTCGACTTGACTTAGTTACACCTATAAATTGTTTTACATTGACTATGATGAACTTTATATGTAACTATT